GAATTGGGTTACGATATACCATTCGAATCTCCATTAAATATAGTATCTAATATACCAAGACGAACTATATTCTATTAATATACCGTAAGTTATTTATGGATTAATAATTTTGAGTTATTTTTTTGACTGATATTTTCAAAGTTGATTTGCCCGATGAAGTAATCATCGCGAATTGGGTTACGATATACCATTCGAATCTCCATTAAATATAGTATCTAATATACCAAGACGAACTATATTCTATTAATATACCGTAAGTTATTTATGGATTAATAATTTTGAGTTATTTTTTTTGACTGATATTTTCAAAGTTGATTTGCCCGATAAAGTAATCATCGCGAATTGGGTTACGATATACCATTCGAATCTCCATTAGATATAGTATCTAATATACCAAGACGAACTATACCCTATTAATATACCGTAAGTTATTTATGGATTAATAATTTTGAGTTATTTTTTTGACTGATATTTTCAAAGTTGATTTGCCCGATGAAGTAATCATCGCGAATTGGGTTACGATATACCATTCGAATCTCCATTAAATATAGTATCTAATATACCAAGACGAACTATATTCTATTAATATACCGTAAGTTATTTATGGATTAATAATTTTGAGTTATTTTTTTTGACTGATATTTTCAAAGTTGATTTGCCCGATGAAGTAATCATCGCGAATTGGGATACGATATACCATTCGAATCTCCATTAAATATAGTATCTACAGTAACCCTATCTATCTGAGAAAATTTTTGAAATAAATTTTTTGAATAATTTTTGGGACATGGATAACTCAGAGGGACTGTAGAATCCGCTTAGAACAAGTTTTATAGACTGTTTTTAATGTAGTTTCGAATGAGCTATAGTATATCCAAATAAGTCATGTATTCGCGGAGAAACACCCCTCTGAGTTATCCATGTCCCAAAAATTATTCAAAAAATTTATTTCAAAAATTTTCTCAGATAGATAGGGTTACTGTAGAATCCGCTTAGAACAAGTTTTATAGACTGTTTTTAATGTAGTTTCGAATGAGCTATAGTATATCCAAATAAGTCATGTATTCGCGGAGAAACACCCCTCTGAGTTATCCATGTCCCAAAAATTATTCAAAAAATTTATTTCAAAAATTTTCTCAGATAGATAGGGTTACTGTAGAATCCGCTTAGAACAAGTTTTTATAGACTGTTTTTAATGTAGTTTCGAATGAGCTATAGTATATCCAAATAAGTCATGTATTCGCGGAGAAACACCCCTCTGAGTTATCCATGTCCCAAAAATTATTCAAAAAATTTATTTCAAAAATTTTCTCAGATAGATAGGGTTACTGTAGAATCCGCTTAGAACAAGTTTTATAGCCTGTTTTTAATGTAGTTTCGAATGAGCTATAGTATATCCAAATAAGTCATGTATTCGCGGAGAAACACCCCTCTGAGTTATCCATGTCCCAAAAATTATTCAAAAAATTTATTTCAAAAATTTTCTCAGATAGATAGGGTTACTGTAGAATCCGCTTAGAACAAGTTTTATAGACTGTTTTTAATGTAGTTTCGAATGAGCTATAGTATATCCAAATAAGTCATGTATTCGCGGAGAAACACCCCTCTGAGTTATCCATGTCCCAAAAATTATTCAAAAAATTTATTTCAAAAATTTTCTCAGATAGATAGGGTTACTGTAAAATCCGCTTAGAACAAGTTTTATAGACTGTTTTTAATGTAGTTTCGAATGAGCTATAGTATATCCAAATATGTCATGTATTCGCGGAGAAACACCCCTCTGAGTTATCCATGTCCCAAAAATTATTCAAAAAATTTATTTCAAAAATTTTCTCAGATAGATAGGGTTACTGTAGAATCCGCTTAGAACAAGTTTTATAGCCTGTTTTTAATGTAGTTTCGAATGAGCTATAGTATATCCAAATAAGTCATGTATTCGCGGAGAAACACCCCTCTGAGTTATCCATGTCCCAAAAATTATTCAAAAAATTTATTTCAAAAATTTTCTCAGATAGATAGGGTTACTGTAGAATCCGCTTAGAACAAGTTTTATAGCCTGTTTTTAATGTAGTTTCGAATGAGCTATAGTATATCCAAATATGTCATGTATTCGCGGAGAAACACCCCTCTGAGTTATCCATGTCCCAAAAATTATTCAAAAAATTTATTTCAAAAATTTTCTCAGATAGATAGGGTTACTGTAGAATCCGCTTAGAACAAGTTTTATAGCCTGTTTTTAATGTAGTTTCGAATGAGCTATAGTATATCCAAATATGTCATGTATTCGCGGAGAAACACCCCTCTGAGTTATCCATGTCCCAAAAATTATTCAAAAAATTTATTTCAAAAATTTTCTCAGATAGATAGGGTTACTGTAGAATCCGCTTAGAACAAGTTTTATAGCCTGTTTTTAATGTAGTTTCGAATAAGCTATAGTATATCCAAATATGTCATGTATTCGCGGAGAAACACCCCTCTGAGTTATCCATGTCCCAAAAATTATTCAAAAAATTTATTTCAAAAATTTTCTCAGATAGATAGGGTTACTGTAGAATCCGCTTAGAAAAAGTTTTATAGCCTGTTTTTAATGTAGTTTCGAATGAGCTATAGTATATCCAAATATGTCATGTATTCGCGGAGAAACACCCCTCTGAGTTATCCATGTCCCAAAAATTATTCAAAAAATTTATTTCAAAAATTTTCTCAGATAGATAGGGTTACTGTAGAATCCGCTTAGAACAAGTTTTATAGCCTGTTTTTAATGTAGTTTCGAATGAGCTTTAGTATATCCAAATATGTCATGTATTCGCGGAGAAACACCCCTCTGAGTTATCCATGTCCCAAAAATTATTCAAAAAATTTATTTCAAAAATTTTCTCAGATAGATAGGGTTACTGTAGAATCCGCTTAGAACAAGTTTTATAGACTGTTTTTAATGTAGTTTCGAATGAGCTATAGTATATCCAAATATGTCATGTATTCGCGGAGAAACACCCCTCTGAGTTATCCATGTCCCAAAAATTATTCAAAAAATTTATTTCAAAAATTTTCTCAGATAGATAGGGTTACTGTAGAATCCGCTTAGAACAAGTTTTATAGCCTGTTTTTAATGTAGTTTCGAATGAGCTATAGTATATCCAAATATGTCATGTATTCGCGGAGAAACACCCCTCTGAGTTATCCATGTCCCAAAAATTATTCAAAAAATTTATTTCAAAAATTTTCTCAGATAGATAGGGTTACTGTAGAATCCGCTTAGAACAAGTTTTATAGCCTGTTTTTAATGTAGTTTCGAATGAGCTATAGTATATCCAAATATGTCATGTATTCGCGGAGAAACACCCCTCTGAGTTATCCATGTCCCAAAAATTATTCAAAAAATTTATTTCAAAAATTTTCTCAGATAGATAGGGTTACTGTAGAATCCGCTTAGAACAAATTTTATAGACTGTTTTTAATGTAGTTTCGAATGAGCTATAGTATATCCAAATATGTCATGTATTCGTGGAGAAACACCTTTCTGAGTTATCCATGTCCCAAAAATTATTCAAAAAATTTATTTCAAAAATTTTCTCAGATAGATAGGGTTACTGTAAAATCCGCTTAGAACAAGTTTTATAGCCTGTTTTTAATGTAGTTTCGAATGAGCTATAGTATATCCAAATATGTCATGTATTCGTGGAGAAACACCTTTCTGAGTTATCCATGTCCCAAAAATTATTCAAAAAATTTATTTCAAAAATTTTCTCAGATAGATAGGGTTACTGTAGAATCCGCTTAGAACAAGTTTTATAGACTGTTTTTAATGTAGTTTCGAATGAGCTATAGTATATCCAAATAAGTCATGTATTCGCGGAGAAACACCCCTCTGAGTTATCCATGTCCCAAAAATTATTCAAAAAATTTATTTCAAAAATTTTCTCAGATAGATAGGGTTACTGTAGAATCCGCTTAGAACAAGTTTTATAGACTGTTTTTAATGTAGTTTCGAATGAGCTATAGTATATCCAAATAAGTCATGTATTCGCGGAGAAACACCCCTCTGAGTTATCCATGTCCCAAAAATTATTCAAAAAATTTATTTCAAAAATTTTCTCAGATAGATAGGGTTACTGTAGAATCCGCTTAGAACAAGTTTTATAGACTGTTTTTAATGTAGTTTCGAATGAGCTATAGTATATCCAAATAAGTCATGTATTCGCGGAGAAACACCCCTCTGAGTTATCCATGTCCCAAAAATTATTCAAAAAATTTATTTCAAAAATTTTCTCAGATAGATAGGGTTACTGTAGAATCCGCTTAGAACAAGTTTTATAGACTGTTTTTAATGTAGTTTCGAATGAGCTATAGTATATCCAAATAAGTCATGTATTCGCGGAGAAACACCCCTCTGAGTTATCCATGTCCCAAAAATTATTCAAAAAATTTATTTCAAAAATTTTCTCAGATAGATAGGGTTACTGTAGAATCCGCTTAGAACAAGTTTTATAGACTGTTTTTAATGTAGTTTCGAATGAGCTATAGTATATCCAAATAAGTCATGTATTCGCGGAGAAACACCCCTCTGAGTTATCCATGTCCCAAAAATTATTCAAAAAATTTATTTCAAAAATTTTCTCAGATAGATAGGTTTACTGTAGAATCCGCTTAGAACAAGTTTTATAGACTGTTTTTAATGTAGTTTCGAATGAGCTATAGTATATCCAAATAAGTCATGTATTCGCGGAGAAACACCCCTCTGAGTCTTCCATTAACATACTAAAAATACTAGCTTTTGATTAATACGTAGATGCATTCTCATTTTGTACAAGGTTTGAGCCTTGCGTTATCAAAAAACACCCCGAAGTTATTTAAATATTCTAATTCAAGTCAAAATATCCATAAAAAATTAAAATTTATATTGTTTAATATTTAATTTCTTTATTAAAAATTAAAAATATATTTAAGTAAATATTTAAATGAGCATCATTGTATTTAAATTTAAAATTTTTTAACAATTTTTAAGGCCATTTCCAAGGTTTATATCTTTTCGGTCTAACCATCTGATCACAATGAAACCTCCATATATCAATTAAATACCCAATTCTTTTAAATAATTTAATTAATTTTAATTAATTTTAATTAAGCTTACGAGTCTTTTTCCCCAACTTTTCTCATATTTTTAATAAAATCAAAGGCTAATACTTCCTCTCCAAATTTATCCAAAATTTCTTCTCCTTCAAAATATTCACCAGGACGTATTAATACCTTTATTTTTTTAAATATTTTTTTAAAGATTATTTTAGTTGAAAATAATTTTCATATTAAAGACACTCATTTCTTGCATTCATCCCAAAAAAATAATTAATGGCCCCTTAGGAAAATTCCTCCAAAAGCTCCTTGAGAACGCAACGACTTTTAAGTTTAAAATAATGCTTTTTCCATTAATTTAAATTTTATTTTTTGTCAAATTTGGCTAGTTTGGTCAAGTTTATACGTCCCAAAAATTGAATTTTTATACCAAAAATTCCCAAAAATTAAAATTAAAATTTTCCCAAAATCCCAAAAATTATTTTTAAAAGTTTAAAGCCATTTCCGGGCCTTGCGTCCCAAAAATGATCTCCAAAATACAATTATTCTTAAAAAAATATTTTGCCTATTTCCTAAAATACCGTATTTCTTCAAATAGAGCCCCACACTCAATTACAGCCCCGCCTTGGAAGATAGTTGAAAAATACAGCCCCATGGGGCTGTATTTGAAGAAATACGATAAGCATTCTCTGGAGGATAGTTTAGAAATAGATCTACAGCTTTATTTTAGAAAATACGGAAAGACCCTTTAAACTACATAAATACCCTTTAAATTAAATTTTTTTAATTAAAAAAAATTTACATTAGAATATAATTCTTTAGAAAATATTGGAAGCATTTCAAATTCACAGCATTGGACATAAAGTCTTTTTAAAAAAAAATTAAATTTATTTTTTTAAATTATTTAAATTTTACGGTTGTGAATTTCCATAGCTTTTATCAAATCCTCCTACCCACGAAGTATTTGAATTACAAGATTTGTGAATAGCCCTTTCATCACAATCCTGTTAAAAAGTAAAATGAAAGGGAGGACAAGAATATACCCGTAGAGGAGTCCATTAGAGAGGGAGGTGGATTATAAAGGTGTCTATTATACAGAGTTTTGATTTTTTAAGATGAGTAGAGTGAGTGGATTCCATTAGAGCGGGATCAGATTCCATTAAAGGAAAGTCAATTATATAGAGAACCAGCCGATTATACTGAGTTTTGAATTTTTTAAAAGGAGGCGGGGGAGAGGAGGGAGTCCATTAATCTGGAGCAGGGCTGTCCGCAAGTGAAAGAATTCCGTAATCCGTAAGTCCAAAAAACCACACAGTTTACACAGCCCTCAGTCCGCAATCCACAATGCAGCGGACAGCCCTGATCACGAGTCTATTATTAATGGAGTCGATTAAATAGAGAGTCCATTATATTGAGGGTTTTGATTTTTAATTTTGAGAGAGAGGGAGGGAGACAAGTTTATTTTAACCCTTAAAATTAGGGTTGTCGGCTCCAGGAAATTCTTAGGATATCCGAAACCGAACCGAAAAATCCTTGGTTCTTCGGTTCGTTCCCGTCCAGAACCGACAACTCTAATTAGGATTTAATTAAATAAAATTTACGGCATAATTTTTCTCAAAACAATTGGGTTTAGAACAGAGTAAAGCAGGCTGTCCATTATGATAAACTTCAACGCCTAAACAAATTTTAATTTAAAAATTAAATTAATTTCTAACCATAAGGTATTTTATTATTTCCACAAAAATGAGCCTCCAATAATTTTAAAATAAATAATAAAATAAATAAAAATATATTAAATTCCATTAATTATTTAATTTTATTTTTATTAAAAATAATTTTTTTCGGGCCATATAAAAAAATAAAAATATTTTATTGATTTGGAATTCTTTCAAATATAAAATGTGTCCTTCAAATTTGAACAAAAAAATTTTTTAAAGAAAATATAAACAACAAAAAAAAATTTTTGGTGACACACACATAAGGGTTTGTGTGATAAATGTACATAATATACAATTATTTATTTAATAAAAATAAACGAAAATTAAGAAAAAATATGAAAACAAATAAGAAGATGATTTTGGTGTTTTATTATCAGTTGAGATTTATAATTAAATATTAGGTAGGTCAATATCAACTATTAATTGTTTAATTATCATTAGAAAGAAAAAAAAGAGCAAGGGAGGAAGGATTTTGTAGATTTAATAAAAATTCGAGACCTTCCAAAAAACAACAAAAATTTAAATTTTGATAACACCTAGGAGATATTTTTTAAGAAAATAAAATCTTAAATCTCAATCTTCCCTCTAAATTTTATTTTTAATTACATTGAGTGAGATGTAAATAAAGTAAAGTTAATAATAATTACAGGGTGACCCAAAAGTAACTGCACACTTTATTTTTGGCATAACTTTATTCAAATAAAAGATATTAGGCTCAGATAAAGCTTAAATGATAGAGAATAAAACAAGGAGCACGAATAAAAAAATAAAAAAATTTTTGAAGTGTCTTACCCCTTACTTTTGGGTCACCCTGTCACCTTCTTGTTATTAAAATTTTAACTCAAATATGACTCATTATTTACATATTTCTCCTGATTAATTATTAAATTATTTAATTTTTATTAATTTAAAAATATATATTAAGTAAAATGTAGGTGACGAGAAAGATGACATAATAAAATCTTTTTTTATAAAATTTATTTGTTTATATACACAAATCCCCCAATTTTAATGTGGTTCTTCTCTACATATCGACTCTCTTCCTTTATTTTCTCGCCTACACTTTATTTGAACAAAACAAAATAAATAATTGTGTGCTAGACATATTTTAATTTAAAAAAATAATTTTAAAGAGAGACGTGTAAATAAAGGATTAACACATTTAAATTTTAAAATGAAATTGAATTTTAAAATTAAAAAAATTTTAGGACAAAAATTAATTTAAGAGAAATAATAAATTTATTTTAGAAAAAGACTAACAAAAATTCAAGTGCAAAAAAAATAATAAATATAATTAATTAATTAAATAATTAAATTTAAAATTAAATTTTATTTTTAAAAATATTTTAAAAAAAATAATGTTGATCAAAAAATTGATTCAAGAGAAATAATAAATTTATGTATTTAAAAAATAAAATAAATATTTAAAAAAAACTAACAGAAAATTCGATTGAAAAAATTTAAAAATTTAATTTTTATTTTTTTTTAAATTAAAATAATGAATATAAGGGTATAAAGATGTCCATCCTTTTTGATAATAATTTTTAAGAAAAATAATTTTTTAAAAAATAAATTTTTTAAAATTAAAAAAATAAAAAAGTGGCGCGAGAAGGTATTAAATTTCAAGTGTTAAAATAAAAATAAAATTTATTTTTTCTAGAAAAATGTGAGTGCACATGAATGGCCTTACTAAAATAAATATATCAGTAATTTTATTTATTTTCTCTTTCCCCCTTCAATTTTTTTTCATTCAATTAATTCCCTCGAGACCACCAGTAAACTACTAGTAACTACTTCTCCCCTTAAAACACTATTAAATAAAAAAATAAAGTGGGAGGAAATTGCCAACCAAACAGCAGACCATGGCGCTTATTTAATTGATTAAAAAAAGTTAGGCCAGAAAAAGGAAGAAGGAGAAAAAATAAAAAAATAATTTTTTAAATAAAAAAAATTTTCTTGAATTTTTTAATTAAACTACTTAAAAACAGCTGCCGTGAATTTTTTTGTCACTAAATAAAAATAATTAAAAAAAAGAAGGGTAGTAAAAATAAAAAGAATATTCTTTTCAAAAATGGAGCACGAACATTAAAAAAATAATTAAAAATGTGTTTTGATTTAAAATAAAAATTTAATTAATTATTTTTATTAATTTAATTATGATAATAAATTTATTCAAGGACTCTAATTGTAAAAAATTCCGGAAAGTTTATTTTTAAATAAAATTTCCGGAAAGAGTTTATTGAGCTTTCCGGAAGCTCCTATTTAAACAAGAAATAAAGTTTTACTTAGAGTTGTGTTTTCAATGTGTTTTAATTGTGTTTTCGATCCGGAAAGTTTAATTAGATAAATAAAACTTTTTTAAGTTGTAAAAAAGTAGTGATAATTACTTCCGGAAATATTGAAAATACAAATACATAAATACAAATAAACCTTCCGGAAATTAAAAATACATATAACAAACTTTCCGGAAAGATTTATAAAAATACTTAAAAATACAAATTATTTTCTATATATTTTTTAAAAATTGATTTTATTTAAAAATAATTTTCTTTCCTTTATACAAGCGGATTTTCTGCCTGATGAGGAAAAAAATAAAAATGTAGAACGATGGAAACGCCTAAAAAATATTGTGGTTAAAAAGGGAAGGAAGAGACTTGCTTTTCTACCATAGATTAAAATGAGCGAGCTTTTACGACACAAAAGGCGCACATAAAAATGACCAAAAAAACTTTATTACTTTAAAGATTTATTTATTAGTAAATCTCCTAAAATAAAAAGTTTCTCGGTCAGTTAATACAAGAATAGATATTAATTAAAAGAAAATACAAAAAAACTTTACGGGAAGAATAGAAAATACAAAAAAATACAATTGTTTTATAAAAATTAAAAATACAAAAAACACAAACTTGAAGGAAATGTTAATTAAATAAAAAGAAATACAAATAAATAAACTTTCCGGAAAGATTAAAAATACAAACAAATAGAGAAAAATACATTGAAATATAAAAGTTTCCGGAAAGTTTTAATAAACACAAATAAATAAATAAAAACTTTCCGGAAGATTAAAAATATATAGAAATACAAACAAACTTTCCGGGAAAATTTTAGAAAATATAAATACAATAAAACTTTCCGGAAACGTAATATATATTTTTATAAACTTGTTCAATAGAAACAAGATTACACTTTAAAATGCAGTTCTTGCCCACTTACGTTCTGAACAATCAAAATATTCATCAGCATTGTTAATACTAACATCATCACTCCTATTTGTAAGTACCGCCCAATTTCCACATTTCAGTATTTGTGTTGCAACATTTTTGCTACCATTTTCTTTTCTTTCCTTTCGATTTCTCAATTCAATCTTTTTTTTAAATTTATTTAAAATTCAAAAAAATTTCTTTTCAATTTTTTACCTTCTTTTCTTCCTTATTTTCTTCATTAATCACTTTATTATCCTTCTTTTGTTTTTCTTCATTTTGTATTGAAATCGCAGCCAATGTGAGGGCTGAAATAACTGAACGTTGGCAATCCCAACTATTAGCAACACTATTATTACCCCCACCATCTCCACAACTATTTGTGTTTGAAAATGTTGAATTATTATTTTTGTTTAGATGTCCTTCTCGAACTTTATGACGCCACCAACTTCTACCAACAGTTTTAGATAACCGGGGAGGAGCTGAATGAGTTTTTAAATTAGTTTATTGTCTTTTTCCGGAAAGTTTTATGTGTTTTCCGGAAAGTTTCTTTTCCTTCCGGAAAGTTTCTTTTCCTTCCGGAAAGTTTTATGTATTTTACGGAAAGTTTCATTCCTTCCGGAAAGTTTCTTTTCCTTCCGGAAAGTTTCTTTCCTTCCGGAAAGTTTTATGTATTTTACGGAAAGTTTCATTCCTTCCGGAAAGTTTTATGTGTTTTCCGGAAAGTTTCTTTCCTTCCGGAAAGTTTATTTAAATGTCTTTCCGAAAGATTATTTAAGTGTATTTTCCGGAAAATTTATTAACACATTTCCTTTCCGGAAAGTTTTAAACATTTCACCTTTCTTAGCATTTAACAAATCTGCCGGAATCATTAATAATTCATTTCTTTCAACAGCAGCAGTAGAAGAAAGAGAAGTTGATACTCCAAATTTAAAAGCTCGTTGTTGCTGTTGTTGTCTAGCTTCATTAAATCCTCTAGCAATTAACATTAAATTAATAGGCATTGTAGGATTCCCCATAATAAGTGCTCGACGAGTTCTCCATTTTCTAAGAATTCTTTGAGATTTTGAATGTATAATTAATTCAAAAATAAAAGCAATAAAGGCAAGTCCAAATCCAAGAAGGGCGATAAGAAAAATTCCAAATGTTGCAAAAATATCTAAAATTTAATTTAATTTTTTTTTGTTTTTTGTGTTTTCCGGAAATGTTGTCCATTAATATTTAGCTATTTATTTGTATTTTCCGGAAAGTTTATTTATTAAATACATATAATTTTTTCCGGAAATATTATCTATTAGTGTATTACATTTATGTACATATTATTTATTTAATACTTCCGGAAAATTCCGGAAAGCTATATTATTATTTATTTATTTTTGTATTTTCCGGAAATTTATTTATTTGTATTTTCCGGAAAGTTTATTTATTAAATATAATTCTTTCCGGAAATATTGTATATTACTGTATTACATATGTATTTGTACTTCCGGAATATTCCGGAAATTTCTTTTTGTATTTTCCGGAAATTTATTTATTTGTATTTTCCGGAAACATTGTTCCGGAAACTAATTTATTTGTTCTATTAAAAGGATTAATTATGTATTATTGAAAAGATTAAACACAAAATTATTTCTAAAAATTTGTTCAAAAAAATTTGTTTCACCTAAAGAACGAGAAGCATCTCTAGCACTATTTGAACTAAATTGCTTCGAAAAAGATTCTCCATAATTAGCATCCTCGCCTCCAGAAGAAGGCGAAGTAGAAACTAATCCCCCTCCATTAAATCCATCCGATTTTATACAATTTGGAATTTTTCCGGTATTAAAATCATTAAAGAAATACTTGAAATTTAATTTTAAAATTAATAAAATTAATTTTACTTTATCATAAGTTCGCCTAATAAATGCCTGATTTTTTTGTATTGCCCGATTCCATTTATGGAGTAATTTTTGATTGTGGCGAGAAAAAATGAAAAATGTTGGGATTTGATTGTGATCTTTATTAAAATAATTATTTTTTAATTTTTTTAAATTTTTTCAAAAATAACCATCTTCAAAATAAAATAAATCACAGCGTTCTTTACTCAACTGATAGGCTAAACTGTATTGTTTTGTTGGTAAAATAAAACTTCCCCTTTTAATTTTTTAATTAATTTTTAATTTAATTTTATTTTCCGGAAAACACAATTTTTACCTTTCAACAAAATCAAGTGCAACACTAACATTATCAACAACCCGAATAGGGTTAGTATCTAAAGCACTTGCTAAATTTCGTAAATGACTCATTCTAGTAAAATTTAACATTTCAAAAAAACTGAAAAAATTTAAATTAAATTTTGATTTAATTTAAATGCCTGTTATCTTTTTCCAAATGGTGTTTGTCCATAACTAAAGTGTATTCATTTGCTTTGACTAGTCTTATCTTTAATTGTAATATTTCAATTTAATTTTAAAGAAAATAAACTTTCCGGAAAGAATAAATAAATTTTATTTGTTTCCGGAAAAACAAATAATAAAATAAACTTTCCGGAAAAACAAATAAAAACAAATAATTTCAGAAAACAATAGAAATAATTTTAGTTTCCGGAAAAATAAATAATAATTGTTTCCGGAAAAATATAATAAATTGAAGGAAACTTTCCGGAAGCATTTTCAGAGAACGTAAATAATTAGTTTCCGGAAACTAATAAAATAATATTCCGGAAAAGCAAAATTGAACTTTCCGGAAACCCAGATAAAATAATAAAAGTTTCCGGAAAAATATAATAATTAAAGAAAACTTTCCGGAAACTGTTTCAGAAAACTTTCCGGAAACCCCATTAAAATAATAAAAGTTTCCGGAAAAACCTACCATCTCGTTATAGTTTTCCCAAGGCCTTGGATTTTCTCCTCTAATTAACGAAGAAAGAAGTACAGCCGTATAAAGTTGTGTAAAAAGAGTTGCTTGGATTAGAGCGTAAAAGATGAAGGCCAAATTCCCTTTTTATTTTATTTAAATTTTTAAATAATTATTTTTAAAATTACCGGATTGAAGAAAAAAAGGAGTTTGAAATTCTGTAGCTTGATGGATTTGTAATCTGAGGTATTGCCACATTTTCTTTTAAGAAAATAAAGAAATACAAGTTATTTTAAGAGAAAGACGAAAACTCGTTCAAAGATTTAATATTTTCCGGAAACGTTTAATTAAACTGTTTTATTTGTTTTTTCCGGAAAGTTTTTATTGTTATTTGTTTTTTCAGGAAATAAATTATTTTCATTGTTTTCTACGCTACTATTTCTTTCCGGAAAGTTTTTTTAATAATATTATTTGTTTTTCCGGAAGCTTTATAATTTTAATTTATTTGTATTTTCCGGAAAGCCTCTTTAAATTATTATTTGTTTTTTTCCGGAAAGTACCTATCTCTTAATTATTTGTTTTCCGGAAACTTCACTCTAGTCTCTCTATTTTTAACTACCTCAAGCGGATTATAAGTTGGACGAAGATTAAGTCTATATTCCATATTCGCAACAAGCGAAGCAACTCCACATTGGAGCAATAAAAAGAAGAGGAGAAGGAACCTGAAAAATAAAAACTTCCCTCACCAATTTAATTCCTATAATTCCTTACCATAACGAGCGCTCATAGGGAAAGAAGGCATTCCAAAGGGATACTGACACACTTTTCCTTTTAGGTTTTGCAATGTAAATATCCCTTACCTTTAAATTTTTTCTTTAATTTTTAATTAAAAATACCCCAGTTATTGGATGTGAAAAATTAAAAAATTTTGCTTTTTGTTCAGTATATGGATATAACGTGCAAACAGTATCGGCCAATCCCGCCTCCAAAAGCCCTAAAATTCCTGTCCAATTTCCCCTTTCTTGAAGGCCATAATTTTGAGTAAAAGCCTTCTCGGCATCCTCAGTGGATGGATCGAATTGGTGGCCCCAATTAACAGAACCGATTTTTGATTCGATTATAATTTGTTCTATTTCCAAGTGTAAACTGTCTGCCAACATTTTGACTACCTTTAAAAAATTTTTTTTAGAAATTCCGGATTTTTTTTTGAAAAATTCAGAAAATTTTTTTAATTTCCGGAATTTTTTTTCCGGAATTTTTTTTCCGGAATTTTTTTTCCGGAATTTTTTTCCGGAATTTTTTTTCCGGAATTTTTTTTTCCGGAATTTTTTGAAATTTTCCGGAATTTTTTTTCCGGTATTTTTTTCCGGAATTTTTTTTCCGGTATTTTTTTCCGGAATTTTTTTTCCGGAATTTTTTTCCGGTATTTTTTTCGAAAATTTTCCGGAATTTTTTCCATTCTCGAAATACCTCAACCATCCAACCAGGAAAAGGACATTTAATATTAGGCACTAAAGTTGGGAAAGTGTTGCAAGTAGGAAAAGCATCCGGAGGGTTCCTTGCAAATACAACACGAATTTTTTCTGATGAAGTATTATTCATTTTTATTTTTTAATAAAAAAATTTTTTGGAAACATTTTTTAATAAAAAATTTTTTTTTAAATTTTTTCCACTACTCTTTTAACAGAAATTTAATATATTTTTTCCGGATAGTTTTAATGAATTTTTTTAAAAAATATTTTAAATGAATTTATAATTATGGGCACTCCTTAAAAAATATTATTTCATTTTTATTAGTTCAATTCCTATTTTTTATTTAAAAAATTTTTTTTCTCAAATTTCAGGCCCTCCCTATATATCAGACTCGGGCACAGCCCAAGTAGGCGCGAGGCGATAACGGCGCAAAGCCATAACTTGCTTCAAGATTTCTGAATCTTTTAAAATTTAGTATTAAACGATTCCTCTTATCGAGCTAAAGAGATTGGTACCAAAATTGTTGAGGTCCAGAAAATTTGCAGCTAGTTATGGCTTTGCGCCCTGACCGCGCGCCTAATTGGGCGTGTCCCATTAGACTCTAGTGTACCCATCCCCACCCACTATTGTTTATTTTTCCGGAAATTGTTTTATTTTATTTTGTTTCCGGAAAGTTTATTTCTCTTTTATTTCTATTTCTTTTCCGGAAAGTTTTATGCTCAAAAATATTTTCTATAAAAATTGTTTTACCCCAACCAAAAATACATTGAACATGCCAACAAGTTTGATCAATAAAACAAGCAACAATTTAGTCTGTACACAACAATATACTTTATTAATTCACCCAAACAATTGTTTAATTCAATCAACAAGTAAATTAACTTGTGACGAAAGTGGAAACAAGTTAAAGGAGGTTTTTCTGAAATTTTTGGAGAATTTTTTAAGAAAAATTTTTAGAACCCCCAACATTTTGTAAAAGCAGCAAAATTCCCAAAAGCTCCACAGAAAGAAATGTGTTGCGGGTCTGGATGTCCAAATTGTTTGTATAAATTAATTTTCAAAATTAAAATTATTTTCTAGGTGTCTGGCTACAATATGTAGACAATGTTTTGGATTATGTTAAGGTTTAAATTTAAATTTTAAAAAAATTTAAAAAACCTTTTTAAAATTTATTAGAGCCTGCCACTTGATGAAAAAGTTATTGAAGAGCAAAAAAGACATATTCGGGATGAACTAGAAAAAAATGTTGAAGACGAGAATCTTCGAATGTTTTTAACTATAGAAATTGAATCTAAAGGTCTTTAAAAAGAATATACGGGCTAAGAAATTTTTTTAAATAAATTTTTTTAAATTTAAAACTTACTCTTTAACACACAAACAACTTAACTTTCCCCTCCTCCTAGTCAATACAACCTCTCCCGTAAAATTTGTCACTTTGGTGTAGTGGGATAGTGTTCAGTTTTTATTGGGGAAAGGGGAAGGGTTCGACCCCATTTGTTGGGAAATAATTTTTAATAATCTAAAATTGACTTTTTTGGATGTTGGTTAGGTTTGTGTGTTTAATAAACCAAAGAAAAAATTATTTTTATATTTTATTAAATAATATATTTTTTAATTTCTCTATTTAAATTGAAAAAAAAATTTACAAAATATAGTTGAAAGAATAAATATATAAAATATATATTTAATTTTTTTCTACAACAACAATAATCAAGTATAGAGTATAGAAATCGGATCGAGACGATAGAGTTGTCAGTTCTGGACCGACCCGAAGAACCGAGGATTTTTCGGGTCGATTCTTCGGTTCGGTTCCTGATATCCGAAGATTTCCCAAGAACCGACAATCCTACGAGACGACTCCAAAAAAACTCGGAAAAATCCCTCGGTCATCGAGAATTGAGAGAGATTTCTTGTATGACTCTCCCAGTCCGATTTCTAATGTATACGGGACAGACAGAGTCAAGGACAGATAGAGAGAAAGATATGTGTATTTATAAGTTTAATCCAAAAAGTCCAAAATAGAATTTAAAAACCCTCTTATAATTTTTCCAAATCCAAAAAAATTAAAAAACCCCCAATAGAGTTGAGAGACTTTTTGAATTTTTACAATTATTTTAAAACTCCCCCCTTATATAAACAATAACATGTTTGTCATATATAAAATATGTAAATTAAAACAAAATATACTTTTTTTTTATTACCCGCAGTTTTTTTATTCACCAATAGTTGAATTAGTACCTTTCTCAATAAATACTTCTCCAAGACGAATTTTAATAGGACAACGTTTTATAGGTTCCTTTAAATAAATTATTTTATTAGGTTTTTAATTTGTGAGAGAAATTTAAAAAATAAAATTTTAGTTTAAAATGTAAAAAGGAATTGTTGTTGTTTAAATTCTACCTTTAAATTTTGTTTAAAAAAGAAAAAAAAAATTATGGATGCAAGGTTTGGCGGACATCCCACTTTATCCCCTTTAAACAATTTCTTTTTGATACCTTAAATAAATCTTAATTTTGATATCTTAATTCCTTGTAAACTAGAATAAAAAAATTTTTCTTGGGGAATTTTAAAAATAATTTTTTAATTCTAGTTTACAAATTAAGATTCCAAAATTAAGGTTTATTAAGGTATCAAAAAAATTGTTTAAGGGGATAAAATGGGATTTTTTAAATTCCTTAAGAAACAATTTTCTAAAATTCCCCAAACAAACCTTTATTTCAATATTACAATTTTGTAAAATCAATTCAATTGCAGCTTTAGACGAGTCATTCAAAACTTCTTGATTTTCAAAAAATGGTCCCAATTGAGAAACAATTTCTTTTTCAAGATGTATATTTATTCCATTTATATTTAACTTTAAAAAAAATTAATTTTTTCTAATTAAAAAATTAAAAGAAACCTTCAAATTACTCTCTTTCCCAGCAGAATTTAATTCAATTTTAAGTTGAGCTAAATCCATTGGATTTATTAATTCAAAAATTTCTTCAGATTCATCATCATTTATTTTAGTTGGTGAAAGTGTCTCATCAATTGTATTGGAAGAACTGCTTTCTTTTCTTTCATTATAAATTTTTCCACAAACAACATGTAAACGTTCATCAACATTTAAACTATATTTAAAAAATAAATTAAAATTTTAGAAAAAATTAATTTAAGGCACACATCTTTTAAATTATGGCTACGCTCTGTAAGAGTCTATGTCTCAATTTCGTTTTTTTAAAAATTCTTGTCATGCCCCTAACACACTGGTGATGAGACGCGTTGAGAAAAGTCAGGTTAGGTTCTGATTGTGAATCGAAAAAAAAGTCAGAATTTCGTATAACCCACCCAATTCCAAATACCTTGTAAACTAGAGATCGGTCTGGATCTGGATCCAGTCTGGATTTTTCCTGGATCCAGATAAAGAATCCTATCCATACTACTAACCTAAATCCAGATCCAAGATTTTTGAAAATATCTATCTCTATTGTAAACACATATATTATTTAGATTCTCTACTCAAAAAAAAATTTTTTTTAATAAACCCCGTCCCTTTCCCTTCTTAAAATAATTATTAAAAAAATTTTTTAATTTTCAAACCTTTTAGCAAATCCAAAAGCTTTAGTATTTCCATCATTCAAATTTAAATAAAAATTAAAATCTTCAATAATTACATCAAAACAATTAATTTCCCTTCCAAAAAATTTTTCTTTTAGTCTTAATATTTGTAAATTATTTTTATTATTTTGTTGTTTTAATTGTTGTTTATTTTCACAAAAATCTTCTTCTTCTTCTTCATTAGCTTCTTCAGCTTCAACAATCCCTTCTTCATCTTCATCAAAAATTTCACTTTCTTCTCTATCATTTAATACACTATCATAACAAATTTGTTCTGTAGAAACTGATGTTATTGATATTGTTTCGTCAAAATTGCTTTCTTAAAAATAGAATTTTTAAGTTTAAAGAAGGAAAAATAAAATTAGAAAATAAGGAGGGATTTTAGAAAATAAGAATAGAAAAAAATTAGAAAAAATTAGAAAATAAAGGGTGTATTTTTAACTTCGAAAAACCGGAAAAAAGAAAGTCAAATGAAAGTCTGCTACTTATATTTTTTCAAAAAAAAATTTTTTTTGAAACTTTCGGTTAACAAAAACCGAAATCCTTGGATCTAAAAATGGCGAAAACCTGTGAGCAAAGCCTACCGGTTTTTAGGAGTTAGAAATACACCCTCTAAGGATAAAATTTTTTTAGGAATTCTTTCCGTTATATCCGCAAAAATCAGTTATTTTTTTTCTTGCGAATAAAATTTACGGACTTTGGTTACATAAAGTTAAATCAAAAAAAAATTAAAACAAACCTAAATCTCCCGGTGTTGTTGTTGACATTCTACAAAAATCAGAGGAAGGACTACTAAATGTCTGCCCCATATAATTAATTATTTTTTGCTGTTTTTTATCAACAACATTTTCATTTAAAACATCACAAACTCTAGGCAAACTTGAAACTGTTTTAATCATATTACCCTGAAAAATTTTTTAAAAATTTTCAAAAAAACCTTCACCTTTCCATAATTTCCCAAAGAAGTTTCTGTTGTTGTTGTTAAACTTCCACGTGCAGATTTTGGATGAATTTGTTGCTGAATAGATTTTGGGGTTTGTTTTTCATTTAAAGAAGAATTAACAAGTGAAGATGCACTTTTTGTTGTTGTTATTTGTTGGGGATAAATTAATAATTTAGTATTTGTAGTTTGTTGAGATAATGATGGGGAAGTTGGTGTTTCATAATTTATGGCATGAGACGATGTTTCTAATTAAAAAATAAAAATTTTAAAAATATAACACATAAAAAATAAAATATCATAGTTGGATCCCCTTTGTAGGGCCTTAATCCTCTGGGGCTGAAAAAATTGTGCCAAAAGTCAAGTGTACCTATCCATTATTTGAGGTATGCTTTAGCCTAAAATTGAAGCCTAAAATTGAGGTGTGCCTGAGTGTCTACCCAGGGATGGGACGGATTACTCGATAATCTAAACTCGGGTATTTTTCGATCCGAAACCCGGCCCGACCTCTTCTCAACCCATCCCTGGTGTACTTAAAATTGAGCTTGTATACAAGAAAAATTTATTTTAAATAATAAAAGCATACCAGAAGAACTTTGATAAACTTCTAAAGGTGTAAAAAATTCAAAATTGTAATTATTATCATAAGGTGAAGGTGATAGCCCTTGTGGAAGGACTAGATGTAAATTAATCTTAAAAATTATAAAATAATTTATTTTTTAAAGAAAAATAAATATTTTTAACCTTTTTACAATGCAAATAAATTGATATTGGAATGGAATTGTGAAAATTATCAATTTGGTGTTTGGCAAAAAATTGACGATCTGTAAAAAGATAAAATTAGAAAAAAATTTCTTTTGTCACTGCTAGTGACTCCACAAATCATTTTTAATGACAATTCAAAGGCCCATAACTATCCTAAAATGGATCCGTGGGGAAAAATGCCAAAAATGGCAATAGGAAAAGGTACCCAGCTCAATCAACTAATGCCAAAAGAATACAAAATAATTTAATACAATTCGAGTGGGTCCCTTTTTTAGTCAAAAATTATTAAAAAAATAAAACCTGAATTTATCTGATCAATTAATTCAGTAATTAAATCTCCAAGTTTTTCAATTTGAACATATTGAAAATGATCAAGAACTACATCAATATTTGAACGAGGTTCAATTTGTACACAATTTCCTTGGAATTTTTTTAAAAATTTTTTAAATTAAAAAACCTTTAATTTTTCCTTCTCCATCAATTAAACAATTTAATGAACCAAAAATATTCAAATCATTAATTAATGGAAGTTCCCAAGTATTTGGACCAAAATCACAATCTACCCATAATGTTGGCACAGAAAAATACCATTCCTCGTTTTCATTATCACAAATTAAGTTTTTGATTTTGTCAGATTCTTCTGAAAAATAAAATAGTAAAACCTCGTTTTTATGTGAAAAACTCTTATTTTAAAATGAAGGTCTAACTTAAATAGAGTTCCCAAGTATTTAGTCTTGATCAGCTACAAAGTTTTGATTTGGAGTCCTAGCTAAAAAAAAGGCCAAAAATACCATGGTTATTTATTTACGTATAAAAATTTGCAAGGTTTTCTTATTAGGCCTCATCGTTTCCGTCTTTTAAAATGTGGAAGAGTCCATCTCTGGCACACACACACACAGTGGTAAACTAAATTTTAGAAAACCTAATCTTAAATTGCGATTTATTTAATTTCATGTTTATCTAAAAAACGAGATTTCAACTGTGTAAAATATAAAAAATAAAAAAAAAACCTATTCTTCTTAAAATTGTTTGTAACATTAAATATTCTTCTTTTTCTTCTCCAATAGAATTATCAAAACACAAATTTTCAACAAGTTTAATAAAATTTAAAGTAGAATAACGTTGAGCTTTAGATTTAAGCACTCGAGGAAATTTAAGTTGAATATTAATGTCTGTATCGCTGAGTAATGTATAATTTGAGAATAAAATTGTTGTTAAATGAATAAAAAATCTTTTTGGAAAAATTGGAGAATTTTGGTTATTATTAATTGGTGGTGGTTGTTTGTCTTGATTATTTGAAGAAGAAGAAAAATTTCGGGTTGATTCTTCTTCATCTTCTTTTTTATTTAATAATGTTGATAGAGTTAATGTTAAATTATCTGGATTGAGCATAATCTAAAATAAAATTTAAAAAAATTATTGTAAGTAGAAATGTCTCGAGAAGGTACAGCTCAAGTAGGCACGCGGCCATAACGGCTCAAAGCCATAACTTGCTTAAAGATTTCTGACTCTTTCAAAATTTAGTATTAAACGATTCCTCTCATAGAGCTAAAGAGATTGGTACCAAAATTGATAAGGGTCCAGAAATTTTCTAGCAAGTTATTGCTTTGTGCAGTTATGGCCGCGCGCCTACTTGGACGTGTCCAATCTAGAGACGTTCAAGACTATTGGACATCGCCGTCCAAAAAATTTTTGGGGGCCTTTCTTCACAAAAAAACCCCCAATAATAGAAAAAACTCTAAAATTCTTACTTTTGGCATAATCATTTCAATTCTAATTTCAACTTGTTTATCGTTAGAATTATCTTGTTTAATAATAGAATGTTGAGGTGCTTCCTAAAAAATATTAAAAATTTTTAAAAAAATAAGAAAAAAGCATACGAAAGAATTTAAAATATTTTCAAATGCATAAATTAACCAACGAATAGATTTTGTATCAGGAATTAATACAAAAGGTGCCAACATTAAATAAACAGAATTTGGTGGAACTGTGAAAAATAAATAAAAATTATTCATCAAAAAAATTTTTTGCCTTATTTTAAGGGAATCGATGACAGGGATACAAGGTTTTATCCGAAACTCTATATGCGAAACCAGATTGGACCCAAAACCAGATCCAATAAATTTTCCAAAACATGGCATAATTCCCCCTTAATTCCCTAATTGACCCGACCTTAAACCCAAAATCAATGCTCTTTCTGGACTGAAACCACGATCCAAAATTTTGGAAATCCACTCGACTCATCGGTAATCGATGAAAAGAAGGTAATAAATTCTAAAAATAATTTTTCAATAAATTCTTAAATTTAAATGAGAAGCTGGATCTTTCTCTTCCTTACACTAGAATCTTCTAAAATAAATTTTATTATCAATAAAATAAACCTGGATAACTGTCAGTTGCAGGAAAATTATAACTAGTAATCTCCAAATGTGCAAAAGATAAAGGTTGAGGCATCCTATTTTTTAAACTTTGATTTACTTCTATAAGATAACTAATATCATCTTTTTTTGTACTACGTTCAGAAATTGCCTTAGAAAATTTTTTAAATAGATTTTCTTAAACAATTTTACCTGAATAATTAAATCCTCAATACGAATAACTACATTTGCAGAAACTAATTGAGGCCATATACGTTCAAAACGCAAACGTGTGTTGGAGTCTAAATAATATTTCACTTTATTTCTAGCTCGAAACTTCGAAAAATTATTGGGAAAAAACATCGAATGGAAAGTTAACCCTCCTCACACCTCTATGGTTGCCCCCTGTAATTTGCTAGAGTAAGAGCGAGGTAAAAAATTAATAACGCGCAGGCTTCGATTCTGCGACCTGCTGGCAGTTATTGCTAGGCGCTATAGCTCACCACGTACAGGTGCTTTACCAACTGAACTGAGCTACCGGGACGCGCTGCTTTCACCTTCTCTTTTAATAGATCTTAAACCCCCGCCTAAGCGTTTTAAATTTTTGTTGAAATTTATTGAAAATTTTTGAAAAAATTCTTTCCTTCAAAAAACCTTCAAGCTGGATCTTTCTCTCCCTTACATTAGAATACCTTCCCTCGTGTATCTACATTTCATAAATTTTTTTAATAAATAAGAAACCCATTTTGCTGTTAATTAAGCCAAAATGATGATCCAACTGTCGATTAGCTAAATCAGTAAAAGTATTTGGTGCCACATAACGCAACCAATTAGAACGTGAAGATTGTTTTCCATCAGTCTCAAAAACTTTGTGTTGCGGATAAAAGTCGACACGAAGTTTGAGTATAGTGGCTTGCATTGCTCCACTATCGATATTCCAATCGGGTGGGAGATCTAAAAAATTTTGAAAAAAAATTTCAAAAATTTTTGAAAATTTTTTTAAAAATTTTCTTGAAGGAATTTTCAAAAAAAATATTATTTAAAAAAACCTTCAGCAGAAGAATCATCACACAAATGTAAATCGATTCGTGAAATTAATAAATGATGTGAGGATTGAGTAATATCGTGTTGACGAAAAACATTAATGTTACTACTAGAGACATGGGGAGCTGAAGAAGCAGAAACTGTTGCATTCTTTTGCTGGTCCTAAAAAAATTAATTTAAAATTAAAAAATTTAAATAAACCACAAATTGATGTACACTTAATTGTTTTGGTAAAATATTAGAAGATAAATTTGCTAGATACATAATATGCTGGTAAAAGTCTATAGCAGAACGTAAATGCGCCATATAGGCGAGCCAATGTATTTCGTCAAATAATAATTCCATTCGGCCAGCAATGAGAGAACAATCTATTTAATTTGAATAAAAATCAGAATTTTCGGAGAATGTTTGAAAAATAAATGTTTTATGGAACAGGGTTGCCGCTCGAAATCCGGTCTTTTTTGTATCCAAAACCCGATACCCGTACCCGAAGATTTTTTGTACCCGTGGCAACCCTGCTATGGAATTATACTTGAATTAAAAACCAGGCCCGTAGCTAGGGGATAGGAGGGGGGAGGAGGGGGAATTCGGCGCCAAAAATAATTTTTTCTATGTAGCCCCCAAACCGAAAATTTTTCCTGGCTACGGGCCTGTTAAAAACAAATGAATGTTCCTAAAAAACCATAAAACAATTGTTTTCAGCAACATAAAAAAAGTCCGGAAAAATCAGAATTTATTAAAAACAGCTGCCGAAAAAACAAAAATATTTTAATAAAATTACCTGCAGTATTTTTCTTTATAGTAATTCGACAACGTCCATTTTCTGTAAGTAAACGTAAAGGAGAATTTAAAGCACTTCCTCTTCGAGTTTGTTTTTCATTTAAATTGTTGTTGTTATTGTGACTTGCTTCAATTTTTAAAACTCTCCAACTAACATGTTTAAAGAAAAGGACTTGACCTAAAGTTCGTTCATGAATTCCTTTAAAAATAAATTATTTAAAATAAAAAAATATATATTTACTAGTCATATTAATTTTTGGAATTTGTCCATTCGGCCATTCATGAAAATTAGGCATACGACTTTCTAGCACCAAATGGGAAAGCTTTAAAAAATATTAAAATTAAAAGCTTTCCGGAAAATATAAAAACAAATATTTCCAAAAAAATAGGAAAATCAGAATTTATTAGAAACATTTGAATGCTTCCGGAAAATGTTTTTCTAAATAATTGTTTAAAAGCAGAAAGTTTTCCGGAAACCCTAAATGTTTAAAAAAAAAGAAACAATTATTGTAATTGTTTTTAATTAATTCTGATTTTTCCGGAAAATCAAAATTAATTTAAAAACAATTGATTGTTTCCGGAAAACACAAATGTTTATAAAACAAAGTTTTCCGGAAAGTCAAAATGTTTAAAAAGAAGAAACAATTAATTGTTTTTAATTAATTCTGATTTTTCCGGAAAAATACCAGAATTAATTAAAAACATTTAAATGTTTCCGGAAAACACAAATGTTTATGAAACAAAGTTTTCCGGAAAAACACAAATATTTACTATAAAAAGGAAAATGTTTTCCGGAAAGAATCAGAAAAAGAAACAATTAATTGTTTCCGGAAAAACATGTTAATTCTGATTTTTCCGGAAAACAAATAAAATGTAAACAAATGTTCATAAATCAAAGTTTTCCGGAAAAACACAAATATTTAAAAAAAAGAAGTGTTTTCCGGAAAAATCAGAATTAATTAAAAACAATTAATTGTTTCCGGAAAAACACAAAAACAAATAATTTAAAAATCAGAATTTATTAAATTGCTTACCATTATTGACCCCCCAAAATTAATTGTAGAATTACTCTCCGTCTCAAAATAAATTTCAATAGATTGGACATACAAAGAAAGACATTCCAATACACGCTCGGGTAAATCATAAGATTTATTACTTTAAAAATTAAAAAAAAATTTTATTTAAAAAAAATTAAAAATAAACTGTGTAGGGCTCGTCTTTTTCAAAATATTTGGGGAAGTTGGAGTAACTAGTCGAATAACAACCTTTTTTAAAAATAACTTTTTTTAATTTTATAAAGAGGAGTAAACCTGTAATTCTTCGACATACTGAAAAATAAAAAAATTATAAGAATTTAAATTTAAAAAAATTCCAAACCAGTTGAACCGGAGCAGATTTAATTTGTGTCCAGGGGATTTTAACAGTCACACTAAAATTAAATTTAAAAATTGTGGGGAAAAAATTAAAATTTTTGAGAAATTAATTAATTTTCGGAATTTTTAATCCAATATTCATCAGAAAAATTAATTTTATGAAATCAATCAGGAAGGTCGACTCCCAGAAGAGGTGGACCCAGTTTCTGGAATAAACCCAGTTTTGTTTATAATAAATTCTGATTTTTACGGAAAACTACACAAAAATAGAAATACTGAAAATAAGGCAAATAAAATAGCCGTCAAAAACACAGAAGGGGAAAATTCCCAAAAAAAAATTTTATCCAAAAAAATTTTTCAAAAAAAAAACCTCGAGCAATGCGCCTTTACAATTTTCAACCAAGGCGGAAACTCTAACCGTTCAGAAATAACTTCTTCATTAAGCTCCAAATTTCTCAATTGTCCCTTTCCTCGAAGTACTTCCAACGAAATTTGTTCAGGTTTTAAATTTCGAGCAAATCTGTTGAAAAATTTAAAAAAATCGATTAATTAAATTAATTTTGGTTAATTTTTAAATTTTTTCTATCAAATTCTGATCATTAAAAATATTTTTCTTTGACTTTTCTGATATAAAAAAATTTATTTTTTTAAATTAAAATTAAAAAAAAATAAAAAAAATATAAAATTTACGTTGACAAATGTTTTACAATTTGATTCTTTATTAAAGAGGCCATTCAAAATTCAAGTCCAAATATATATTATAATTGTGTAGAATAACAAATTAAATTATGCAAAATAAAAAAATTTTTAAAAAGTATTTTTGAAAACTAAAAAATTTCAGAAAATTTTTTCGAAATTCAGGAAAATCAAAAGTCAAGGGCAGTTGAGTGCCAATGTAAGAAAGACGCCAGTTGAGTGCAAGGCGACAGTATATATTTGTTTGTCTTCCTTCTGATAAAGTCATTAACTTGAAATTTCTTTAGTTTTGAATCAAATTGAATAAAGCTTGTACTATTCGAGATCAGAGATGGCCGAAATTTCGTTTCGTTCGCTCCTTTGCGCTGTTTTGTCTCCCTTTGTTCCCTTTTTTCCCTTTTGTCTTGGAACTAAATAAAGACAAGACTTGGAGCAATATTGGAAGCTCGTACCAAAATTTGTACCTACTCGTACTCGTATCTTATACGAGTAAGTACGAGTAGGAGCAAATTTTAAGATTCCAATCACTGCTTGGGAGGATTGGGATGAATATGTGTATTTGGAGATTAAAAGCTTGAAAGACACAAATTTTATTCCTATTTACTGGTCAAATCCGAGAGACTGATTCAATCTTATCATTCCTTAAAATTTTGATTATTTTATTTATCCAAAAATTTTTTTCCTCAGAGATCTCTTGAAAGCCCCACCAATTTTAAATAATTTCTTTAAGCTCCTCTTCTCTTATTTTCTAATCACAATATTTATTTACAAAATACAAAATCACATTTTTACTAATTAATTAAACTTAAAACAAACACACAAACCTCGTGTGACACACCACACGCGTATACATACAACTACTATACATACTATATCTTTTGTGCGTGTACCCTATGATTTTAATTATATTTTAAATATTAATCGTCTGATAAGAAGGAAATTAAAAATTAAATTGAGTATATATAAATGAACTAAAATTAATTTTAATTATATTTTTTACTCAGAATTTTTTTTGAATGATTTTTGAATGATTAATTTTTTAATTTAATTAAATTTTACAATATTTAATCTTTAAAAAATTAAAAAAAAGTTTTTAAGAGGAAACTAATTTTTTTATAAATTATTTTATTTCCTGTTTCAATTTTGTAGGTACATATTTAGGTAATAAAACTTGTTTCCATTTGTTCTCTCTTTTTGTTCTTCATTTTTAAGTCTTTTAAGTTTGTGTTACAATATAAAGAACAAAAAATAGAAGAGCTGTCCGAAACCGAAAATCTTCCAAGACTCGAGACTTCGATCCAAAACTATGACCGAAAAAAGCCCAAAAAATTTTAGGGTCAAGACTCAAGACCAATAGTCTCGAACAGACCTGGTCATGGATACGGATATGGATACAGATAATACCAAAATGACTGCGGATATCCGCCTGTATCCGCCGTAAATATCCGGATACGAAACCAAAATCAGTATCCGTGACCAGGTCTGGTCTCGAACAGCTCTAAAAAATAGGTACCTATATTTTCTGAATTAATTTAATTTTTTATTTTATTTTCTAAAATTCAACCGGAAATAAAAATTTAATAACCACAACAAAAAATCTCGATTTTTGAATATTTACTTTGATTTATTTATTAATCTCGCAATTTTCTCTTTCCTTTTCTTTCTCGCATAATAAATGATAAAATAATGATGCAACTTAACATTAATATTAACTCATTAAAAAAAACATTTCCCATATTTTTTGTCTATTTATTTAGAATATTTTTAATGACGAAATTTATATTTATTTAATCATTTTAAGAAATTTAGTTAGTTGATGATGTAATTAATTTAAATTTTTGCTCTTTATTTTTATTTAAGGTTGTATATAAATATAAATTTAAAAACTTTATTTGTCTATAAATTAAATGATTATCCCATTGTTTCAAAAAATAAATGAACTTTTTCTGAAAATTGTAAAAATATTATTTTGTTTTGAAATTAATAATAGCATGTGTAGTTGTGTACTAGAGTTTTGTTTCTTTTAATTATATTTTCCGGAAAATACAATTATTTGTTTCCGGAATTAAAATAACCTTTCCCTAATAAAATACCTTTCCGGAATTATAATACAATTATTTCCGGAAAATACAATAATTCTATACCTATTAATTATGAGTTTTTCCGGAACAATACAAATTATTTTTTTTAAATTAAAATAATACTATTCCGGAATTATCGGTTGTATATACATATTACCGTATTTCCTATATTAGAGCCCCACCCTCTGTTAGAGCCCCACCCTCTAATACAGCCCCACTTTGGAGGATAGTTGAAAAATAGAGCCCCACCCTCAATTAGAGCCCCACCCCTAATACAGCCCCACCTAAAAAATATTGGAGGAAAAATAAAAAATATCCAAAGATTTTTTAGATTAGAGGTTAAGGAGATAAAGAGCAACTGGGATATAGGGATTAAGGGAAATATGAGGGGAATAACTAACAAATAAGGGGAAAAGGAAGAGATATAGTGGGATCTTCTTCATCATTGCTTATAATGAATATAATCCTTAAAATGCCAAGGTATCCCTTTTATCCCCGATATCCCTCCTCGTCAAAAAAATCCCTTCATATGACTCCTAATACCCCTAATTCACAATATCCCTCTTAACCCAGCTAATTCTCACAATATAAACTTAATCATCTGATATTCCCTATAATCCCTTAAAATCCACTTACCTACATATGATCCATCAATGTCAAATACAAGTCCCCTAATATTCCCTTTAATCCGTCCAAATCTACCAATATTTCATAATTAATCTTACTCTCGTTGAAATATTGCGACTATTTTGTTACTTATTGCTTATAAAGTTTTAATTTTTTTGAAAATTTGAAAAATATTGATTCTCTTTCGCTATTTTTCGGTTTTATTGGCCAACCCCTCCGGCCTATCTCTAGTTGCGATGGATATAATAAATGGGATTTTGTCTCAAGAGAGGGTTGAAAAATAGAGCCCCACCCTCAATTAGAGCCCCACCCTTTAATACAGCCCCACCTTGGAGGATAGTTGAAAAATAGAGCCCCATGGGGCTCTAATATAGGAAATACGGTAATTCCGGAAAGAATATATTTTTCCGGAATTAATTATTCTACTTATTGTATTCCGGAAAATACAATTATTTGTTTCCGGAATTAATATATTCTTTGCCTAATAATAGAAAATACAACTTATTCCGGAATATTAATACAACTATTGTTCCGGAAAATACAACTATTCTATATATTTTTTGATTCTGCTACATATTATTTTTAATTTTCAAAATTTGTAAAATCACCTCATTTAATATACTGCTAAACTACAAATATTTCTATATATTTTTCCTAATTTAACAAAAAATGAATTTCCCAAACAGAAAATTCCCGTTAAAAATATCAGCATATAAATAGGCCTTTAATTTACCCTTTTCTTTGCAAACAATTAAATTTTTTAATTAGTAAAGTGTTGCTTTAACTGGTAAAATTAATATTTATTTAATTTTATTTTTTTTAATAATAAAAAAATTGGATTCCCTAATTTTGAAATAATTGCGATTATTTAAAAATTAAAATTCCTTTATTTAAAAAAACTTCTACTTCAGCACAAATTATTTTATTTTATTTATTTTGTTATCAAAATAATCTTTTGCCCTCTTTTTTAATTATTTTTTACCTTTTAATTATTTTATAAATTTATGGAGGAATTTAAAAAAAAATTAGAAAACTCCACATTAATTTTTATTTGCTTTAAAAATTGTCTTCATTCATTTCCTTACCATAATTTTTACAAAAATTAATTTTTAAAATGATAATAATTTTTAGATATTTTTAAAAAATATTTAATTTTGCCTTAATTCTTATTCAAATATTCACTTAAAAATTAAAAAAAAATTCTTAAAAAATTCCTTAAAAATGCTAACAACAGAATTATTAGCCCAAACAGTAACCCCTTCAACAAACACAAATTCTCATCATTTTAATAATAATTCCAATAATATTTTAAAAACCAATTCTTTATTAAATGGCAATAATAAAAATAATAATTTAATTGTTGATTCGATAATTGAATTAAATAATAATAATAATTATAATTTTTATAATAATAATAATACATTTTTGTTTACTTCTGAATCTGTTGGGGAAGGACATCCTGACAGTGAGCGTTTTTTGGAATTTTATTTGAAAAAAAAATATTTTTTTTCTGAAAAATTTTTTCTGAAAAATAATTCATGATTTTTTGAAAAATTTTCTGAAAATTAAAAAAAATATTTTTTCGAAGAGATAATTATATTATTAAATCATACCTTAGTTATCTTTTTATTCCCAGAAAATTTTTTGAAAATTTTTTTTCTGAAAATTAATTTTTGATTTTTTATGAAATCACTTTCTTTATTCCAATAAAAATTTAATTTTTCAATTTTTTTTTTAATTTTTTTTAAATTTAGAAATGTGCGATCAAGTAAGTCTACCCATTTATTTATTTTTTAATTAAATACATATTTTATTATAAACAATTTTTTAATTTTTCTAAATTCACATAAAAACGAGAAATACCCTTTAAAATTAATTTTATAAAATTTTTGGTTGTTATCAGTTTTAATATTTCATTGAAATTTTAATAGAACGATTATTAAGTATATTTTGTGCAAATAAATATAAATTAAAAAATTATATGAAAAATACAAAAAATAAAAACAAAAAATACAACTCAGAAATATTTAAAATACAAAAATACAATTAAATTAAAAATCAGAAGATAAAAATACAAAAAATCAGAATAAATATTAATTACAAATCAGAAAATACAAAAATACATATTCTGAAAATTAAATTACAAATCAGAAAAAAAAACACAAATTAAATTCTGATTTGTATTTTTAAAAAATTCTGATTTTAATATTTTGTGTTTTTGTCCGCACAGAAAAACACAAATTAAATTCTGATTTGTATTTTTAAAAAATTCTGATTTTAATATTTTGTGTTTTCGTCTGTGTGTAAAATAATTCTGGTTATTCTGATTTGTGTTTTTGTTTTAATATTTTTCTGATTTGTATTTCTTAATAATTTTTATGGAAAATACATTAATTAATTTTTTAGATTTCTGATGCAATATTAGATGCACATTTAGCAATTGATCCTCATGCAAAAGTTGCATGTGGTAATAATTTTAATCTTAATATTTATTTAAAAACTATATTTTTTCAGAGACCGTTACCAAAACAGGGATGGTTTTAGTTTGTGGGGTGTGTTTTTTATTTATTTTCTTTTAATTAATTTTATCCTTTTTATAGGAAATTACATCAAAAGCAAAGGTAGATTATCAAGCAATTGTTAGAGAGACGATAAAAAAGATTGGTTATGATGATTCTAGTAAAGGTATTTTGTATATTCTTTGTATTTTTAAAATTATTCTGATTTTTTAAAAAAATTCTGATTTTTTAAAAAAATTCTGATTTTCAAAAAAATTCTGATTTTTAAATTTACAGGTTTTGATTATAAAACCTGCAATGTATTAGTTGCAATAGAAGAACAATCACCAGAAATTGCAGCGGGAGTACACCAAAATAAAAATGAAGAGAATTTGGGTGCTGGGGATCAAGTAAAAATTTTAGGGAAAAAATTTTAATTTAATTTAAAGGGTATAATGTTCGGTTATGCCTCCGACGAAAGTAAAGAAACTATGCCTTTAACCCTTTTACTTTCTCATCAATTAAATGCCAAGTATCACGAAAGACGTCGTGATGGAAGCTTGCCATGGGCACGGCCAGATTCTAAATCTCAAGTTACTATAGAATATGCCTATGAAAATGGAGCTTGTGTGGCTTTGCGAGTTCACACTGTAATTAAATAATTTGCGAAAAAAAATTAAAAATATTTTCTAATAAAGATAGTAATGTCTGTTCAACATGCTCCAGATATCTCTTTAGAGAAAGTAAGGGAACAAGTTGAAAATCTGGTAATTAAAGAGGTAATATTTAATTTGTAAAAGGAAAATGTATTTTCTGTTGTAAATTTAATCAGAATATGTAAATTAAATTGTAAAATAAACTTGGAAAAATACAAAAATACAAAATTACAAATCAGAATTAATAGAGAGAGAATTACAAACAAAAATACAAAAAATAAATCTAAAATACAAATCAGAATTGTAATATAAAATTACAAATTAGAAAAATACATTACAAATCAGAATTAATAATATTAATTAAAATCAGAAAATACAAAAATCAGAATTACAAAATGAAAATACAAATAAGAAAACACAAAAAATATAAAACACAAAAATCAGAATTACAAAAATAAAAAATTCTGATATATTCTGATTTTTTAAACATTATTAATTTAATAGTTGTGTTTTTATTTTTAAATTCTGATTTTGTATTTTTTAAATAATTTGTATTTTTCTCAATTAATAATAAAATTAATTTTTAATTAAAGGTGATTCCTCCCAATCTCTACACTAAAGAAACCAAACTTCATTTAAATCCTTGCGGTTCTTTTGTCATTGGTGGACCTATGGGGGATGCTGGACTTACCGGACGCAAAATAATTGTTAATAATTTTTTAATAAAAAAAATTATTTTATTTTCCTCAAGGTTGATACTTATGGAGGCTGGGGAGCCCACGGAGGAGGTGCCTTTTCCGGCAAAGACCCAACAAAAGTTGATCGTTCTGCTGCTTATGCCGCTCGTTGGGTCTCTAAAAGTTTGGTTAAAGCGGTAATTAATTAAAAAAATTTTTTAATTAAAATTCTCTTCTTAAAGGGTCTTTGCCGTCGTTGCCTAGTTCAAATTTCCTATGCTATTGGAATTGCTGAACCCCTTTCTGTAACAAATAAATATTTTTTAAATTAAATTTCAAAATTAATAAAGATAATGGTCACTCATTTTGGGACGTCTCCAATTAGCGAATTCGATTTGCTTCGAGTTGTTAAACAAAATTTTGATTTACGGCCTGGGGCGATTATCAGGCAAGAAAAAAATTTTTTAAATTAATTAAAAATTTAAAAAATTATTTTTTAGCCAACTCGGTCTTAGAGAGCCAATTTATCGACAAACTGCAGCTAATGGGCATTTTGGCAATCCTGACTTCCCTTGTAAAAAATTTAATTTTCAAAAATAAATTCTAAAAAAATTTATTTTTTAGGGGAAAAACCAAAGACCCTTGTATTATCAGAAGATATTATTGCTAAATTGTCAGCAGTTCAATTATAATTTATTTTTTAATTAAAATGTGATAGTTTAGAGGAGAATTGACAAGAAAATCACAAATTTCTATTTTTTATATTTTTAGTTAAAATGTGTTTATATAATAAAGTGTTAAAAATACTTTTCAAAAAATACAAGAAAATACAAATAAATACAATAATTACTGCATAGAAAAAGAAAATACAAACATAATTCTGAAAAAGAAAATACAAATTTAAAATGAGTATAGTTCTGAAACCAGAAAATTCAAGAAATAATTCTGAAAACTGAAACACAGAATTAAATAATTCTGATAAAAAATACAATACAAACACAATTCTGAAAAAATACCGAAACAAATAATTCTGAAACACCAAAACAAAAACACAATTCTGATTTTGTTGTAAAACACAACAAAAACACAATTCTGAAAAAATAAAATACATTTAAAATAAAAATAATTCTAAAAACTGAAACACAGAATTAAATAATTCTGATAAAAAAAGAAAATACATAATTCTGATAAAAAATAAAATACAAACATAATTCTGAAAAAACATCGAAATAAATACTAATTCTGAATTCCTTAAACAAAAACACAATTCTGAAAAAAGAAAACACATTTAAAATACAAATAATTCTGATATTGTTTATACATACATATGTGTTTTTTAAAAATACATTCCGGAACCTGAAAACACATTCCGGAAAACACTTGTATTTTAAATGTATTTATTAAACCGGAAATAGTGTAGAACAAAAATACACTTGTATTTTCCCCCTTATAATTTTCCCCCTTATAATTTACTTGTTTATTTTTTGTATTTGCGCACAAAGTTGCGATAAATAAAAATTATAGTAACAAATAAATTAATTATAATTTTTTTGATTTAATAAAATTAGGGAACGACGGAAATTAATTAAATATGTGTCTGTTTTTTATTTAATTTTTTTGTTAATTTAATTAAAATAATTAAAAAACAAGTTTTATTTTCTGTTCCTTTCCATTGGTCAACAAACAAAAAAAATAATTTTTTTTCTTTTCGCTTTTTTTAAAAGTGTTGAATTATAATGGAGGGTAAAGAAAAGAAAAGAAAATTTTTTTATTTGTTTGTTATTAATATATACTTCAAAACAAATTTATTATTTATTTATTTTATTAAACAACCGGCTTTAAGCAAAACAAAAAACCGCGTTCAATGTTACCAGCTAACAATAAAACGCCTTTAAATAAAAATAAAAAAAATCCGAAATATATAAAAATAATTTTTAAAATTATTTTATAAAGCAAAATAAACGATCCAATTTTCTAAAATTTTTTAAAAAATTTTTAAAATTTATTTTATGACCCATTTTATTTATATTAATAAATCTGCTTGATTATTAATGCCAAAATTAATTTTATTATTTTATTTAATTATTTATGGAATTTTATTGTTAACAACTTTAACTGAAGGGTTTGGGTTTGGTGGAGGATGTGGATGTTAATTTTAATTGTTTTAAAATTATATTTATTATTTAAATATAAAAAATTTTTAAATTTATTTCTAGTCATCTGAAACATTAAATTTAGGCCCTTGTATGCCACAACCATGTATTCCACAACCACCTCCAATTGCTGTAAATTAATTATATTTTTTAATTAATTGCTTCTTAAATTGTATGTAAACCAGGGATTGTGCCATTCCGATCCCTTGGAAATTTATTTTTGATACCAACACGATCCAGGATTTGAGTTATGGAACTATTCCTTTAATGGGTAGTCTGGGACTTGCATAATAGGAATCCTCTTTTCATAGAAGGAAACCTTGCTTTGAGAAATTTGGGGTTTCAAGCTTTTCTGTAGGTGGGGTTTCGGGTAGCTTGGCCAATCCCTGTTTCCCGCATTTCTAGAAAAATAATATTCTTTTTACCCAGTTACCTTCTCTATGTTTCCCACAAATCCAATTGCCCTGTCCCCCTCCATCCTGTGGATGCTGTGGTAGAAGGAAAAGAGAAAGTGGAGCTTCAGCATTATTAACACCAGTTTCAACAAAGTCGGGAATTAAAAGAATTGGAGAAGAAAAAAATCATTGTAATAATCCACACATTAAAAGAATTATTTTAAAGGTTTTTTTGCTGGGAAAATTGAAAAAAAAATTATTTTTTAGAATTTAATTATTGGAGATTTGGTTGGTACAAGAAATGCAATACATTCAGAATTAAGGGCTAAATTAGGGGGGAATTATATAATTAATTGTGCTCATAGTCCATCATTTGCGTATTCTGGTGATTCAGTAATTGATTATTGTGTGGATGGACATCAGGTATTTTTTGGAAAAAAATTTTTTTTGAGAAAATTCAAAGATTGTCTTTTTAAGACAACCCTTTGGATAGCTTTTTATTTTTAAAAATTCTAAAAATTCAAAAAAATTTTTATTAACAATTTTAGGCAATAACTTGTGCAGTCTTCAAAATTCAATGAGAATGAGATCAGAATGAATTTTATTTTTTAAAATAAATATAAAAATTTTTATAATATATTTTGAGCATTATAAATATTTATCAATTAATTTTTTATTTGATAAATTAATTTAAAAATGTGTATAAATTAATTTTTACTAACACTAGAACGGAGTTGATGGAGTTGACTATAGGGAAGGGTTAAGGAGAGTTTTTACTTAATTTAAAAAATAAATTAAAAATAATTTTCAATGATTTTCTCATATTAATATGAGAATTAAATTAACGCCCAAAACAAATTTATAAAAAATATATTAGCTTTGCCCTCATCAAAAATACATTTTAAAAGCGGAAGTTCTTCGGTTTGTAATTGACTGGGAATGTGAAAAGTTTTCTTCACACTTTTTCACTTTCCAATTCTCTGGATGAGGATTTACTTGGATTTATTTTTATTTGTTAAAATATCAAAATTCGTCTTTCTTTGAGAAAATTAATTTTTTTGAATTTTTGGCCCAAAACTGGTGGGGCTTATTATTTTATGCGACAAAGCAAAAATAATATTAATTCAAATATTAAAACAAATAAAAGGTAAAATTATTCAAAAAAAATTTTTTTCTGAGTTCAGAATACAGAAAAAGGCTGTACTTTAGCCGGTGGCCCACTCAGAAACGGGACAAATTATATACCATTCGATTCGACTCGGCGAGCTGAGTCGAATGGTACTATTCTTTTTTTGCGGAAATGCCTACGAGCCGAGATATAGGTCCTTGAAAACCGAAAAACCATAGGGGGGAGTAAGCACAATTTTGGGGTGAAAAATTCAAATATGGAAATGATAGCTCATTCGAAAGAGCTCCTCGAGCTGAGTCGAATGACACCAAAATCAGCGAAATCCGACTTGATTTGACAAAGTTATGAGCATTAGTTTTAGCTCCTTACCTTTGGTATACGTGCAGGTTTTTGTTGCTCGGGAGGAAGCCAGGCATGCCGACCGCAGCTAAAATAGGCATAAGTTTATGTTACGAGCCCAGACCCAGCGCCCGTAGACTCCCCGCGATGCGCGTGCCGCAAAACCCCGCGCGAAGCGCGGGGTTTTGCACAAGCGCCTCGCCGACGCCCCATAGGTTTATGTTGCTTGTATTTTGTGTTGTAACTTTGTATAAATTTGTTCAATCACTGTGATTTTGGTGTCATTCGACTCAACTCGTCGAGCTCTTTCAAATGAGTTATAATATGGTTAAAAAATTTTCAATTCCAATAATCGCCCCTTTGGATCTTCGGTTTTTAGGGGTCTATATCTCGGTTCAATCAAGTCGGATTTCGTTGATTTTGGTGTCATTCGACTCAGCTCGAAGAGCTCTTTCGAATGAGCTAACATTTAAAAAATCGAATTTTTCACCACAAAATTTTGCTTACTCCCCCCTATGGTTTTTCGGTTTTCAAGGACCTATATCTCGGCTCGTAGGCATTTCCGCAAAAAAAGAATAGTACCATTCGACTCAGCTCGCCGAGACGAATCGAATGGTATATAATTTGTCCCGTTTCTGAGTGGGCCACCGGCTAAAGTATATCCCAGAAAAATTCAGAAAAATTTTTTTGGAAATTTTTCAGAAAAATTCCAGAAAATTTCAGAAAATTCTGAAAAAATTTCAGAAGAAAAATCAGAAAAAAAATTCTGAAAAAATCGGAAAAAAATCAAAAAAATTTTCCCTAATTCAGAAAAAAAATTTTATATTTTAGACGTTTTGACCACACATTTGCTGTCTCATTCAATAAAGAAGACAACAATAATAATAATTCTTATTGTTGGCCAGATGCTTTTTCTTTTGAAAACAATAAAAATATTAAAAATAATAAACAACAAAAAATTAAATTTTCCCCTAAAGAATGGTTAAATTCTGAAAATATTAAAAATAATATTAATGCAAAAATACATATTCACACAATTTATTTAATTTTGTTTATTACTCTATTTAATTTAATTATTTTGCTTTGTCTGGTGCATTTCAGACTTGTTTGTATGTTTAATTAATTTTAAATATTCTGAAAAAAAAGAAATCAGAATTTGTAATAATTTATTTTCAGAATTTGTAATTTTAAAATCAGAATTTAGTAATCAGAATTTTGCAATTGTAATTTAAAATTCTGAAATTTACAATCAGAATTTAAAAATCAGAAATTCTTTAATCAGAACTTTAATCAGAATTTTAAGAATCAGAATTTATAATCAGAATTTTTTGTATTTTTCATTTATAATTCTGAAATAAAATTCTGATCCTTCAGAGTTAATTTTAAAAATACATATTCTGAAAATTCTGATATTTTTAAGTAATTTATCCTGCTAATAGCAACTATAATAATTCAAAAATTAATGAAAGCTTTCTGGCCCTACAAGGAAATAATAATACACCCATTGAGAATAACCAAATATTGCGCATGAGAATTCAGAAAAGGTGGAAATATTAATTAAATTTGGAAAATTTTTTTAAATATTTTTTAGTGATAAATATTTTTTGGAACAAAACGAGGATAATGAGAATAATAATACGAATGTGATACTAGAAGATAAAGTTGGCAATAATAATTTGACTAATGCTCAGCTGGAGAGGGTCCTCTATTATATTTTCATTTATTTAACACTCCCATCTTTTAAAAAAAAACTTTTTTATTTTTTATAAGGCAAAGTTTAATATTTTGAAAGAACCTATTGAAAATAAAATAATCTATTTATCTACTAAACAACAATTAATAAATAATTTTAATTGTATTACATCAACATTTCCTCCATTAGATTCTGACTTTGACCTTTTAAAAACACCAAAATCTATTCAATCAAGTAGACATTATTTGCTTGATTGTACAAATGAGGTGTGTATTTAACTAATTTTTAAATTAAATCATGGGGTATTATATGTATGAAATCAGAATTATATAAATCAGAATTATTTACAATCCGGAATGATATATTTCCGGAATTATAATTTAATTTTATATTTATCCGGAAAATTATAACAATTTCGGAAACGTATTAAAATCAGAATTATTTTTATAACAGGACGATTCTGAAGGATTTGACAAGTGTGTGGAATGGCAACGTGCTGGTTTTTGTAAAACACATCCGGCCACAAAGTGGTTATTTTGTAGACGGCAATGTCTTTGTTTTTAATTTATTTATTCTGTTCTGATTTTTTTTAATTTTATTTTCTTTTTACTACGTATATTTTAATATTTTTTAAATTATATTTAATTTTGCTGTAAATAAAATTTTAAAAATTATTTTTTGGCAATCAAAAATGGAATTTAATGTATAGAAATGCATGAACAATCACATGTATAACTAACTATTTATTATTTTTTATTATTTTTGGATATGCCGGATTTTATATTTATTGCATCATTCACTCTTTTTCAATTTTATTTTTGTTCTATTAAATAATAATATACTGAACTAACCAAATTTTAAAATTTATTAGTGTGGAACGGTTGCGGGAACAATGAGAGGATATTATTTTATTTTAATTGTTGGAAAATAAATTTATTTTTATTTTATTAAAAAGGTTATTTAAAAAATTTGGATATTATTTGGCAATTATTTTCTCAATATTTTTAAATACAAATATGGATAATTTTTAAAAGGATGAAAATCTCAAGTATTAAAAGAAGACTCTTGAAATAATACCATGCATTATTTCGTATTTCTTTGTTACTATTTATTTATGTATTTGCATTGCGCAATCTAATAGTAAACTCTGCTTTTATGTATTTTCTGGATTGTATTTCCGGAAAGATATTTTGTATTTCTGATTTACCTTAAACAGTTGGTTGTTCTGATTGTAAATTGTAAATTCTGATTTTTGTATTTTTTTATTCTTGTATTCTTCCTTTAATAATTACAAATTCTGATTTTTGTATTCTTCCTTTAATAATTACAAATTCTGATTTTTGTATTTTTCCTTTAATAAATACAAATTCTGATTTTTGTATTTTTCCTTTAATAAATAAAAATTCTGATTTTTGTATTTTTCCCTGAATAATTACAAATTCTGATTTTTGTATTTTTCCTTTAATAAATACAAATTCTGATTTTTGTATTTTTCCTTTAATAAATACAAATTCTGATTTTTGTATTTTTCCTTTAATAAATACAAATTCTGATTTTTGTATTTTTCCTTTAATAAATAAAAATTCTGATTTTTGTATTTTTCCCTGAATAATTACAAATTCTGATTTTTGTATTTTTCCTTTAATAAATACAAATTCTGATTTTTGTATTTTTCCTTTAATAAATACAAATTCTAATTTTTGTATTTTTCCTTTAATAAATACAAATTCTGATTTTTGTATTTTTCCCTGAATAATTACAAATTCTGATTTTTGTATTTTTCCCTGAATAATTACAAATTCTGATTTTTGTATTTTTCGTTGATTAATTGCAAATTTTTTTGCGTATTTTTAGTAGTTCTGAGTTAAGTATTTTTTACAAATTCTGATTTTATTTTTGTATTTTCCCAACCAAAATAAATTTGTATTTTTTGAGAATTTTCTTATTCTTTACCTATTGTATTTTAGATTAAAAACTACTACCCAATATTTTGTCCTTTTCAGTCAGTTGTTTAGGTAAAATTGTAGCGAATGAAATTTGCATTAAAATAGTTGAATAGTCAAGTATATTTTGAGGACAAAATATTTTTTATTCTAAAAATAGCTCTTGATTTTTTATTTATTCTTTATTTCACACAATTTACCCGCAAAATGCCACCATTTCTCTCCTTTTTCTATTATAAAATTCCTCATTGGCTTTCACTAATCCTTTTTGACCTTGACGTGGCCTTTAAATTAACTACATTTTTGATTGGCCGCTTTTCTCCTTCAATGAATTTTCCTTTCTTTATTCAAATATCTAGCATGATTTTCTTAGCAATTTCCGTTATCCAACCTATATTAAATTAATCTTTAAATATTGTTTCCGAATTGTTTATTTTCTTGAATATATTGTGTTGTTTATTTGTAAATTAAAATTTATAAGATCAGAATATGTATTTTCATGTTTGATTGTAAATTATTCTGATTTTTGTATTTTTATACAAATTCTGATTTTGTATTTTTATTACAAATTCTGAGTTTGTATTTTTATTACAAATTCTGATTTTTGTATTTCTTTACAAATTCTGATTTTTCTATTTTCTTTACAAATTTTGATTTTTGTATTTTTATTACAAATTCTGATTTCTGTATTTTCTTTACAAATTCTGATTTTTGTATTTTTATTACAAATTCTGATTTTTGTATTTTCTTTACAAATTCTAATTTTTGTATTTTTATTACAAATTCTGATTTTTGTATTTTTCCTTGAATAATCGCAAATTCTGATTTTTATTTTTCCTTGAATAATTGCAAATTCTGGTTTTTGTATTTTCCTTTGTAATTATAATTTATTGTAAATTCTAATTTTATTTTTGTATTTTCTTCCATTATGTTTTGTCCAGTTGAAGAGGTTTATACCTAAATATGTATTTAAAAACCTTTATTAAAATGTTCGCGCATTTAAGAGTTTATATTAATGTACTTTTCTGGATTGAGTAAATAAATAGAAGAGAGAATACATCATCCGATTTACGACCTTGATGAACACATTTTAAATAATTTGTTAAAAGAACGTTTTGTGTTATTTAATTAGAAAAAGCTGCTTTTTGGAAGCGAAAAATTTTCACGCTTCATTATCCTTTTTTGTGATTTTAAAATTTATGTTAAATTAATTTATTAATTTGAACATACCTTTTGTTCTACATCCTTAATGTTGCATTTTTATGGATGCAAATTAATATATAACAGAAAATACATAATTGAAAGAAAGAAATGCACATACCTATTCAATATAAATTGTAAATTCTGATTTTATTTTTGTATTTCAGTTTAATTCTGATTTAATTCTATGTATTAATTTTATTGGTAAATGCAGTTTAATTCTGAAAAAAATACATTTTGTCAGTCAAAAAATAGAAATGTGTTTTGATTGTAAATTCTGATTTTTCCGAGTGTGTTTTACTTTGTAATTTTCCGGAATACCTTTAATTGTATTTTTCATATTATACGTTCCGGAATTATGTTATAATTTTCCTGAAAAGTATAATACTAAATAAATTATAATTTTCTTCATTAATATTTTTAAATTTAAATTTAAGAATGTTGCTAAAAAATAAAAAATTGGCAAAATGTTTAATTTATTTTTTATTTCTTTTATTTTTTAATTTTCTTCAAAATTTTCTTAAAATTAATATTTTTGTATTTACAACAACTTTAAGAACAAAACAACAAAATACTCAACAACAAAAATTATCATTACTCCCCCAATGTACAGACAATTTTGTGATAGCTTCAGAAATGTCAATGAAGATACAAGAAGAGAAGCAACAACAAAACAATTTAAATAATAATGTGACTGTTCATTTACAATTGGCAACTGTTGCTCTAGGGGATACTTTTTGTATGATGATAACGGTGATTTTTAATTTATTGAAAATTTTTTAACCCTCCAAGAAAATATTTTTTTAAGGCAAATAAATCTCTGGAAGACTTACAAAATTCAAATGAAGACGAAATTGAGGATGGAAAATTTAATGAAAAATCAGATTTTTCCACTTCCGAAAAACAATTTTCAATATTACATACTATCGAATATAGTAAATTTTTATTTTTAAAATTTAAAAAATTTTATTTTTAAAGTCAGTTTGGAATTACACCACGCAATTACTGGAAAATACAAATTCGGTATTCCTGTTCTATCCCCTCGTTGTAAATGTGACTGTGTTGGTGGCGAAACAATTTGTAGTGTAGAAAAATACCAATACCGGTTTTTGTATTTAAATCAAATAATTGTATTTTCCGGAAATTTAGTTGTAATATACCTATGTATATCCGGAAAATGTGTTTTCCGGAAATTGTATTTTCAGTAAAGAATATAATTTCCGGATAAATCTATATTACAATTATAAGTTCCGGAAAAACAATATTTTCCGGAAGGAAATATACATATTCCGGAAATACACATATAACTTTATACATTCCGGATTGTATTCTATACATTCCGGATGTAATACTTTCCGGAAGGAAATATATATATTCCGGAAATATTAATTAAATTATAATTCCGGAAATATACATAAATAATGCTTTCCGGAAATATACATACATATAACTTTATACATTCCGGAATGTATTTAATAATCTTTTTTTTCTCTAGCAACTGTTCGAACAATAACGGCGGTACTTCCTCCCTTTGTTATAGAACGCATAGAGGCGGGCAAGCAAATACGGGTTGTTTGACTTCGGGCAAAGCAGAAATTTGTTGCCAGGCAATTTTAAATTATTTTTAAAACTGTTTTTAATTTTAGATAGATATTACTCCCTATAAGGATTGGACATTTCAAGCTATTCGTTTAAAACAACCAAATACAGTGGTTGTTCTCAGATATAAAATATTTGAACGGAAAATACCTTCAAACGGGGTTCATTGGACTAACACGTAAATTAAAATTTTTTTTTAATTTCAAAAAAATTTTTTAAATTTTTCTCAAGTTTTGACGAAATTTTACGAATTCCATTAAATAAGGGAACAACAAAATTTGAATTAAATGCAGTCAGTCAAGAATTACATAATCAAATAACAGGCAGTAATAGTCAACACAAAATTGAGATTAATGCGGGTTTTTAAAAAATTTTCTAAAAAATTTCTCTAAAAATTTTTTTCAAGTTGGTGGTCGTCCTCACAGACAAATAGAGCCGGGAATGTATTTTTATCAGATTATTAATGACAGTCCTCCCCAACTTAGAGAAGGAGTTCCGTTAAATGGGCCAGGGGAAAATAGTCTGGAAAAGTTTGGTTGGCTACGCTTGGACGAGAAAAATGGTGGATGGATTGTTAGAAAAGGGTTGGAGAAAATAACACAGGCACAGGTTTTTTAATTTAAATTAAAAGTCAGACCTCTTTATAAGAAACACTCAATATTAAATAACCTCGATTTAAGGCAGTCTTCTAAAATCTCGTTATAAGCCACCCTCTATTTAAGAGACACACCATCATAACGTACTTTCTATTTAAATGACGCTCCATTATGAAACCCTCTATTTAATATACCTTCATTATAAGGTATCCTCTATTTAACAGACATCTCACTATAAGCTACACTTTTTCAATTTTCAAAGGTGAGGTGTGCCTAAATAAAAATAATTTTTTAAAGCATATTCGAGTAGATGACTGTAAAGCACAACGTTATAGAACAACATTTAATGTAGAACAATTTGTATTAAAAAATGGAGGGAATTTGGGAGAAGAATCACAAATTGAAGAATTAATTAATTTTGATTTGGGAACACTAGTAAATGACGAAACTTGGGTAAATTCAATAAAAATAGGAGATAGAGAAGCAATTATGGAGCATGCTGAGGGGGCTGCTTTAACTGTAAATTAAAAAGTTTTTCAAAAAAATAATTGTTTTTTAAAGTTAACTATAAGAACAGAAACAAAACCCAATGTTGTTCGACATATTTCGAAATTTAGTAATTTTACTGGCACAATTGGTAAGATTTTTTTAAAAAAGGTTGACTCCAGCTATATAAGTCCTCAGGGTTTTTTAGTCCTTGGTTCTCAAGAAAATGTTTTTCCTCGGATTTAAGGCTAAGGTGATATAAGTGACGATATATGGATTGCGAAATTTCGTGTTTCGCGAGTCCTGTTATTAGCTTAGTCGGTTCCCTATATGAATTTTTAGAAAAATTTTCATGGGGTCAGCATCAGGGGAGTTGAAAAATCCAATGGTTAAACGTTCTTAGGCTATCGGGGACTGACCAACATTCTACTCGCTTTTCGGGGAAGGATCCGACTTGCAAAATTTAATAATTTTTAATCTTTTTGAATTTTTTAGTTCTTGATAAGGAATCCAACAGATATTTGAATTTGACATTTTATGTAAATTTAAATACTCAAAAAATTTTTAGAAAATTCAATTTTTTCAGAATGCCAGAGGGACTTTGATTGGCCAAATATTTTCAAGTGCAGATTCCCTTTCTGTCATGGAAAGTATTTTTAGGTGAAAAACACAAATTTTTTAATTTATTTTAAAATTATTTTTAGTATCGATATTGGAAAATTTACTAAAGAAAAATTCCAAAGAGTTGTGGCAACCTCTGTACATTCCCCCAAACTAGTTTGTTTTTACCCTATTGGTGATACTGACAGCCGAATATGCCAAAGACTTGAATTGATTTATGAACCTATCAAGGTTTTAATTTTAGAATTATTTCTGTAATTACGAAATTTCGTTTTCACAGAATTCGTGTTTCGAGAAATTTAGTTTAGTGAAATTTCGTTTCGTGAATTTCTATTTCGCTTTTTGGAAAATTTCGTATTTCGAAAAATTTCGTTTCGTCAGTTTTCCTGTTTCGCGAAATTTCGTGTTTAGCAAAATTTCGTCTAACTTTCTATTTCGTTTTTCGTTAACTTCGTCTTTTTAAATGTCTTCGTTTTCAGGAAAAACATTTTGCTGATCAATGGCAATTAGCACAAACCGAATGTATTGGATGTAATGAAAGGGGAGGTTTATTTAAAAATTATTTTTTAAAAATCAAAAAAATTCCTTAATTTCAGTCGACTCATTCCTCGCAAGTTTAGACCCTCGACAATGGTTGGACGGTTTAAATACCCCAGCAGAATTATTTACTTGTACATTAGAGCTAGTTTTGTGTTTGGCTTTTTTACTTTCGAGTATTCTATTTTTTACAAAATGTGTTATTCCTTTGTGTAGATGTGTGCATTTTGTTGCTAAACCGTCGAAAAAGAAATGAAACAAAAAAAATTATTTTTTTAATACGGGTATTTTTTTGTAAATTTTATTTTTTTGTAAATAAATTTCTTGATAAATTATTAAATTAACAGAAAAATCAACAAAAATATTTTTTTTAAATCTTATTGGACATTTGCGGACAAAACGAAAATTTACGAAACACGAAATTTTTTTCGTGTTTCGCAAGAATTCATGTTAAGGGTTGAACCAGCGAAAATCAAATAAAATTTCGTTGTTTTGCGAAATTTCGTGTTTAAAAATTTAGTTTAAACAAATTTTTGTTTCGAGTTTCGTGTATAAAAATTTTTAGATGTCTGCATATTTTGCGGACATCTACAGCTTTGTCCGCAAATATCATAAAAATTTAAAATTACTTTTATCAATTCCTTCTTCTTTTATAACCCCCTTTTTTGGTTAAAGATGAAACTAAAGCTGAATCTTTACTTGGAGGTCCAACAAGTTTGGCTATACGTAACTAAAAATAAAAACGTTTTTATAAGTTTGAAAGAAACTTGCCGTATTCATAGTAAGTGCTTGGGCTTCAGTAGCTGAAGAAACACTGAAAAATTAAAAAAAGATTTGCTTTATTAAGAAAATTGGACAGCACATACTCCCTTGGGGTAATAACAGCCGAATCTACCCGGTAGTCAACCCAAAATCTTAAAAAAACGTATCATATGTAAATTGAGATGTCTAGTGGATTAGGATTGGAGTTTTCAAGTTGGGCTGACGTCCAAGTCATTTTTTTCGGGCCGGCCCGACTGAGTCTTTTTTTACCCTCAATCATATATTGGATGATCTTACATTGAGGTTAAGTAATTCCAAAATGGGTTCCAGTAAATTCCAAATACCTAATTCCCTGTATAATGGACATGAAAAGACCGACACTTTTCGTATCTTTTTTGTTATCAAAAAAGTGACAAAAAAAATTTTTTTTTAAATCCCCAAAAAAACTGTCCGTTAAACATGTCCACAATTTATTTTTCCAAAAAACAAAACTTACATACAACCCAATCCTGTCAAATAATTTTTTAACATAGTCTCATTAACCCCAAGTTCTTGTACCAAAGGGGATAGGGGTAACATAAAATCGGGCTCTAAAAAGAAATAAAATGTTTTAAAATTTAAAATTAAAGAAAATACCATCAAAAAGAAGTAATAAACATAAAAGGTCTACTAAAGCACGGTTTTTCTTATCTACCGGAATTTGGAATTTTATTGCATTTTTGCCTGTTCCTTCTCCTAAAAAATAAAAAAAATTTTTTTGGAAAAATTTAAAAATGTCCGCAATTCAAAAAATGTCCGCAAAAAATTTTTTTAATTTTGTGAGACATTTTATCCCACCCATCCCTCCATCCATATAAAATTTAAAAAATTTAAAAAATAAAAAAATAAACAAACCCAAATATTTTTTTCTAAAATATTCACTCATTAAAGAAGGTAATTGAAAAGCTTCAACATCACCAAGCGATATAGACAAAGCTCTAGATTTCTTTTTGAAACAATACTTTGAAAAAATTAAAAAATTTAATTTTTATTTAAAAATTCTTCCCAAAATTTTTGAAATTTTTTTTTGACCCGTAAATAAAAAAAAATTTCCCCCAAAAAATAAAAACCTGAACAAATTTTGATAAAACAACCATTTTTAATGCAATTGTACAACGAATTCCTGGATTTACATGGCGTGAAGGAATACCAACTCTTTTGGCAACTAGAGGGGATACACCTAAAAAATAAAATTTTTTTTTATTTTTTTCAAGCCCCCCTCCCCCTCCCTCTCCTTACCAGAATTAATTAAATATTGAAAAGAATCCACAGATTTAAAATATTTTAAAGATTCTTGTTCATATCCAGATTTAAATTGGTCAAAATTATCAGGTAAAAATTGATCAAGTTTATAAACGTCACAAGGTACTTTAGCGTCATAATTTGGTTTTGGTAACATTCCACTTGTACCCTTTAAAATTAAATTTTCAATTAAATTTTCAATTAAATGAATCTCTGAGAAACCAGAACCCGAAAAATCTATTGATAATAGGAATGATTTTTTTCCTTTTTTTGATCCGTAGGAATCAGAAATGTCAAAGGTCCATAAACCTGACACTTTTTCAATCCGAAATTCGATACCTGATCCTAAAAATTTTTCGAAAATCCTATCCAAACTCCTACCCGGACTTTTTTTTCTCTATACATGACATCCCTGGTAGGAATTCTGACAGCCCCCCCCCCCCCGAAACCCACCCCCTGGATACGCCCTTGCAGTACTGGAAATATTTTTAAAAAATTTAAAAAAACAAAACCTTTTCCAAAATAGCCAATAATTTAGATTTGTCATCGTCCAAAGTTGTAGTAGTAGAAAGAGAATCAATACTATCATCAAATTCTTCTTTTTTAATTGAAGTATTTGGTGAAGAAAAGGCTGTTGTTGACATTGCGTCTAATGTTTCCTTGAAAATAAAAAATTTTTATTTAAATTTTTTTTCGATTTTTCGAAATTTCGAAAACATTTCTAAAGCGAAATTTCGATTTTCGATCAAAATTTCGAAACTCGAAGTTTCGAAAGAAAATTTCTTTTCAAATTAATTTAATAAAAAATTAAAAGAAAAAAAGAAACATTTGTAATGCTCCTTCTAATATTTGCTTCCAACTTTTTAACATTTTTTGCACTTCCAAAACTTTTTGTCAAATTATTACGTTCAGTTCTCATTTCATCAAAAGACATTGAAAAATCTTGGGAATAATTGGTAACACTTTTACGTCTGAAAAAATAAATTTTTCTGAAAATCTTCATAAAAAACCAACTTTCGTCCATTTAACAATTCTTCCCCAGGTTGAAATCGCGGTTGAAAGCTAACTAAAGCAGCAGGTTTAAATTCAATTGGTCGCCCTGTTCTTCTATCAACTACAGCCAAAACATATTCAAAACCATTCCCTGGTGGTTCTTCAATGCCAACATGGTCAATATGTAAAGGCTAAATTTTAAAAAAAGTTTAAAAGTTAGACTGGAGCTGCTTCAAACAAAAAATAAAAATTTCGAAATTAAAAAAGGCGAAATTTCGAGAAAGCTTTGAAAATCAGACCGTTCCCAGCCATGCCTGATCTTTTGGGCCCAATAGCTAAAAAAATCGGGGATTTTGAAAAAATTAGTTTTTCTCGAGTTCGAGTAGTAAGAAAAATTCGTCCGCTGGAAAACCCTGAAGATAGGAGCTCGGTTCAAAACCCAAAAATTAAAAAAAAATAAACCTTTGAAGAAAATTCAGTATTAGCTAAACTTGTCATTGTAAAAACTTTCTTGTCGACCCTATTCAATTGTTCTGAAAAACACAGCTTTGAAGGCTCAACTGGCTCGCCTTGAGGAAATATAGCAACAATATCGCGAACTCTTTTGCCTATTCCGACACTTAAAAAATTTTTTTAACATTAAAAAAAATAAAAAGATAAAATAAACGTTAATTTAGCACTCGGTATTTGACTAGAAACTGAGCTTGGTGTTCCACTTTTAGGTGTAGCAAAAACATTCCTGTCACTTTTGATACTTGAAGAAGATCTATTTAACATTTGCTTTTTTTAATAAAGCTAATAAAATTTAAAATTAGTTTCTTGAAAAAAGGGGACGCATCGTAATACCAAGCCCCCAAAAAGTTGTCAAAATACCAAACTGTGGAAAAATAAAAAAAACATACAAACATATGTTCAAATCAAGTGAAAGTTTGTTTCAACAAAGGTGAAGGTTGCTCGTTCAACACGGAAGGTTGTTAACAATCCACAATTTTTTTGGTATTTCGGCGTGCCTTTTGGGGGCTCGGCATTTTGGCGCTTGGTATTACGGCATCCTACTAAAAAGGTAAAAAAATTGATGTAAAAACAAATTTTAAAATTGTAAAAAATTATAAAAAATAATTTATTCAACTCTTCAAAACCAAATTCCTAAAATCTTCACAATTTGAAGAAGCTATAGTAAATCCATTTGCATCATCTGCCATTTTTATTAAATTTAGTATAGATTCTTTTTCTTTTATATTCAAAAATACAAAACCAATTAGTCCATAATCTTCAATTAATTGACAAAGTTGTTTGTTTAGATTTTTGTAAATTGATAATGCTGGGTGGTCCTTTAAATTTAAAAAAATTTGGAAAAATATTTTTTGTGGTGTAGTGGTTAGTGTTGGTGACTACACATATTTTTGGATGGAGGTTCGAACCCTCTTGGGGTCAAATATTTTCTAGACTTTATTTTTAAGATTTTAACGAGTTAGATTTAGTTTTCAGCTTCTATGAGGTATTCTTTAGAATTTTTTTCGAGACGTTTAGCTGTAAAAACAAAAATTCCACACCTTCCCCCAACTCCTATGCTTCCTAAAAAAATAATTAAAAAATTAAAAAAAAACTTCCCTTACATCAAGTAAATCAACCAAATATTTAAGATTAGGCAATTCTTCAAAATAATCTAAACTAAAAGGCAAATCTTTTGTTGAAAGTAAATCAACTTTTGAAAGAACATTAATTTGTGTAATTTCTAAATTTATCATAGCCATTAAGGAGGAGAGAATTACAGAAATAAATTTGCCAGGGTCGTTACTGAAAAAAAATATTTTTTTATTTAAATTGAAGGGAAAAGATGTTTAAAATTAATTTGGGGGTTCTAAAAAGATTTTCCAAGATTTCTAAGAAAAACAAACATATGTGTAGAATCATTAAGGCAAACAGCACAAATTTGCCATTGTAATGTATTAAACCTATTAATAATTTTTCGAATAGAATCATCACTACAATAAAGTTCCATTTGTCCAGGCATATCAATTATAAGATAAAAACCTTTAAATTTTTCGAGACGTTCTTCTAACCTAAAAAATTTTAATAGTTAAAACAAAATTTAATAAAAATTTAATAAAAAAAATCATAAACTTTCTATCCGCAATCATATTTTTTATTTTTCTAAAAAAGGACTGACTATTTTTGGTGGATAAAGGGAAAGGAGAGATAGAGAAAAAACTAGACAAA